TGGTTACTTTTGAGGTCATCTTTTTTTACCATCAATTTGAGACATTTCAGCATTTCGCGTTATAAATACATGTAAGGAAAAAGCCTTGGTCCATGCTTAGAATGAATAATCACATATTCAATAAAACTGAATCTTGAACAGTTGTCATGATAGTTGAACTTTGTTTTATATATAAGGATTCATTTTCAAATTTGAGTCATCACTATCTTTTTGCAAAACATTGACAAAAATTTACTTTCAACATTTAAATTATCAATGTCAAATTAATTGATTATTCAAAATAACATGAATGAATCAAATTACTTATTCGATGCGATAGACTCTTTGTGGTTTGACAAACAGTTCATTGTTTAGAAAAAAAGAGTAAATAGTATTTACTGTACTTAGAACTATGTCAGGAAATGTATTGTGTGTTCTATCTAAATAGACTGTTTAATTCACAAAGCAAGTAGCATCATCAAAAATCGATGTCACGAATGAATCATCATTGGTTTACTCGGAAATACACCCATAATAATAATAATAATAATAATCTTCCATAGATCAGGCCATTTGTTGTATAAACAAATTCATTTATTAATAGAATAGTGCAGTATATATATATATATATATATATAAGAAAAACAAAACTCATAATACAACAAATGATTAAGGATAGTTTAACAATAATAGAAAAAAAATACAAAATACAAAAGCTCATCATTGTAAAATTGATTAATCGTTTGGTTGACCAATAATTGTTTAAAAATTTTCAACTTGTTTAAACAATCACTTGTTTACTCGAAAAGAGTAAGTATATTAGTGAATATGTAACCTGATTTGAGATGAGTGATTCATTCATCAACAGTGTTGAATGAAAAAAGAACTTAAAGGTTAAATGAACCAAAGATAAATAATGTAGACCACTGAATACATACTCAAACATTGAATTAGTATCAGATTTCTCATGATCACTTTCAGTCAAGGTGATTTAAAACCAAATGCACAAATGATGATACTGATCATAGTCGTAAAATGAAAGGTGCCTGACAGAGTTAATGATAAATACTATTTTCAAATACTAAAAATCGTAAACTAATCATCGTTAGACCACTATTAGAAACCTGAAAGTCCTAGTACGGAATTCATCAGCTATGCGCACCCACGAATCCCACTCAAGGAAATCTAACCCAGGACCTTCGATCTTGCGCGGAAACGCTTAACCTCTAGATCACTGAACCGGCATCCAACGGTGTTAATGTCTAACTTTGCTAAATCTAAGGCATTGTTCGACCTCACCTATTGTTTTCAGTAGCTACTGCCTACACTCGACAGGGTTGAACTGGAGTCATGGATGAGCATTGCTGATGAGTCCCATACCAGGACGAAAGGACCGTCCAGTGCTTCCAGGTTTCTAGTGGTGGTCAAACGGTCAATATTCAGGATTTCAGTGTAAAACAACGATCTACCTAACTCTATACTGGAAAATACTAAAAAATTGAAAAACTTATTAATTTGATTTAAAAATATGAATGTTATTTTGCAACATATTTTAAGATTTAATGTTAGCAAACTGAATTAATACTCAAAATTTGAAAAATACCATATTTTCAACCATTAATTAGGTAAACATACCCACTGACACATAAATACATACAGAAAAATATCAACAGTTATATTTTAACTCATTTGTAAATCCTATTTCCGTTTCATGGAAATCGCTTTGAATCACGTAATTCCAATTAGTGCACTGAATATATACGTGTATAAACATTTATATTTTATTGATTGAAGAAAATTCTACATGTATTCTTTTGCTTCACCTTAGTTGATTGATGTACAATGTACAATGCACATGCAGATTTTCTCATGATCATGATCAGCAGTTTCATTGTTTAAATAAAAACTACTCATCATTATTAAAAAAACAACATGTGTATAATCATTATTTCATTTGAATCAAGTATCAATGCAATAAATAGATTGTTTTAAAAATTAGGCATTACAACAATGAAACATTGAAAAGCAACTGAAAACATTTACCATATTTTTTAACAGAAATGATTTTACCAAAAAGTGTACACAACGGATAATTAGTACGCACTAGCTTATTCATAAGTACCTTGGTCATAGATAATGAGACAGTGTATTAAGACAGTCGGTCATATATGACGATGAAAAAATCCTTTCAGGATAAAGTAATGTTTGTCATTAGATAACAAGCCATCTGTCAAACACAAGGTATAATGTGGACACAATGAGTTTATTCTAAGTAATTCGCAATAGCCACACCTCAGATAAACTATGTTTGCTACGGTACCACCACTGAGCTAAAGGAAGAGAGAAAGACCAAAGAATACATTAGGCCGAGTTTTGGAAGCGGACATGAAAAGAATCAATAGCAGTTGAATAGAAATGGAAAGGAAGGTCCAGTGCAAAGTAAGTTTGAGAATGCTGGTCAGCGGTCTATGTTCTATTAGATAAAACAGGCATAAGTAAGTGAATTAGTAAACAGTTCGAATCGATTTTATGAAGATTAGTAGAAGCCATATAAATTAAAAAGACTTAAACCTGATCTCATATTTAAAATGATCATAATTTCTCCTTCCATTTATTAGATTTACAAATTCCTAGGTTTTTGTTATATTAAACGGTAATATTGTTATAGATATAATGCACTGCCGCCTAGAAAAACTATAAAAGCCCTGTTAAAATTGAATTATTAACTTCATTTGTATTGTAAACAATTTACTTGTTAGTGATTAACATACACGTTTTTTCCAAATCAACATTATGTTAGTCTTCAGTATAGGGTTGTGAAGATTTCTCAGTGTTTTATTGAAATCATTAGTCGATCTAAATCAAATAACTGGTGAAATCTTGGAAGCACTGGAAGTTTATTTCATCATAATATGGGGATGGCGTGGATTGACTGAAGTTAGATTTGTTACCGGCTGAGTGGTTTAAAAGTCAACTCTCCTTCGCCCGACTACTGGTTACAGGGAAATGGATATTCATTATCGAGAGGATTCATATACTTTTGGATGTTATTCACAGTGACTTATAATTAGTATGTAACAGAAGTTACTACTGAAGGGAGAAGTGTCCTGGCAGAATGTATAAAGAGATCAAAGTGTTTTTTGAAGACTAGAATCTGCTTGCAAATAGAATCCTGAAGATAAGGCGTAGGAATTTTGCTAGTAAATTGTATCTTCTTTGAATAAATCACTTAATACATTGGATCTTAACATGCTCATTCATTATTACATTCGGACAAAACAGCCGCCTATCGATGCCAGATTTTCAATGATGGTCTGATTAAAATCAACTTATGGTTCAGATTACCTTAACTATTGAGAATGACCAAACTTGATAGCTTGCAGTGATATATTGTTCAGTGAACTATCAGTTAAATCTGCTGTCATGGAAAGGCTACTGAGAGTATTTAAGTAGCGAAATCAGACCAACTCTTAAAAATTATGTTTCTTGATTAATAAAATGCAGTTTGCCACATAACTGAGCTATCTTATTCGGTGAACGTTCATGAGCTATACTACTGGTTTACTTCCTAATGCTGAATTTTTAACATTTAAGTTTAACATTGCCCATACTGCAATTCTATTGCATACACATGATACCTCGTACAATAACAAGACAAACTAGAGATTAAAATAGTAAAATCCTTCAATACAGTAGGACAATCTACCAAATTCTAAATTTTGAATAATTTGATCTTGTTTTCAATAATTCAGTTTATCGCAAACACCTCAAGTATTCTGTTAAAAATAATACTCTCTTACCTAGTCTGTCGGCATAACAAAAGAGAGATTATTTCAATTCAAAGTTTACTTTTTGTTCTGTTGTTTAAAATCCTTATTACATGCACCATTTTGCTAATATTAGTCAGTGAAGTAGTGTCAAAGTCCAAGATTTCATGTGTGTGTATGTCATTCACTAAGTACCCTAAATCAGATCCAAATCACGTTTGGTTGTATGTTAAACTACCATTCTATATTTTCCAGTCACGATCAGCTTAAAAATACAGTTTTGCTAATATTCCGTTTTTCATTATGCCTTAACTGTTTTCGTTATGCCAAGCCTTTTCCTTAGCTTGTTTGAGTTTTAGGTAACCAACTACCTAAGAGTTAAAGTTCTCGATGTTCTTCTGATAAGGTAAGACTGATATGACTTAGAGAAATTCGAATACTTCACTTCTATCGAAGGTTTGTGCTGATGTTGTTCAGAAGAACAATGAAAGCTTCACAACCAAAATAACCAGCTCAGAGAACGAAACACCACCACACGTTTGACTAGTGGAACTGTACCACGTTTAAAAGACGATGGGTTTCAAAGATAGCTGACAGCTGAACTAAGACAAAATCATTATGTTGGAAGTATAAGCCACTACCTTCTGACCTAGTAATCTTAAAGAATTATGGTCGCTTTAAATTTAAAATATCCTCTGAATTGTAAGTGAGAGTCAATCTAAAACAGGACTACTACCTAGTAATTCCAACGTTTCCACGATTTATTCAACATACAAACTTACACTTCTGTAAGCGACACTGCAATAACAGTGATTACTAAACATGAGAAGCTGATACAATAAACGGATCAGATATTAGAAAGATGATAAGCACACGCAACTGACCAATACTTGACTTTCTTTCAAGGAATGAGATAACCCCAGTAATGGAAAGTGACAAATATATGCATATAGGCGGTTAGGTATGTAAATGGCAAGCTTATTTATTCGTATGGAAGTTGGAAACCGGAAAAACACAACAGTATCCTTATCAAAAACAAATAAAACTCACTAAATGTGGATCATAAAAAGACCTATTCTCTTCACAAATCGTTTATATTGGATTATTTTTCCCTTTATATTATAAAATTGACATTATAATAATACAGAAAAGTAATTTAAAAAAGAAAATAATAATGTGCATTATAATTAAGAACAATTCATTTTAATTTGAAGTTAGCGCTAATTAGAAATCAGTAAAACAAAAAGACACTGATGAACATTTTACTTTTTTATTTATTTATTATTGATTCAATACAAACAGGGATTGTTCTCTAGACAACATCATCGGATTACTACAAATTAGAATTTAGTAGTAATTATACACAGAAAGATGATATATATTTAAAGAGATTTGCGAAAATCACGTAAAAAAACAAGATAGAGAAACAACAGTGAAGATTCTGTACAGAAAGTATAATAAATAAACTTACTATTCTTCTACATATCACTTCTTTTTATTAAAAAAAATATATATGCAGGGAACTTATCAAAATGCAGTGTAATGAATTAAGTTACAAGTAAAAATGATACAAACCCAAAATAGCAGAAAAAATTAAATCCATCCGTAAAAATGAAGAAACCACCATAACGATTCACTAGAATGATTACCTTGAGGTTTTATGAAAAATTTACCTTGATTATATAAATCAATTGGATCAAATATAAAATGAATAAAGAGTTGATCACGTGAAAAATGATTTAATAATTGAATATTATCCGGGGAAATTCCACTGAGATTGTGAACAATTTCAATGGAATTACTGTCAATATTTAATTGTGATAAGATAGTTTGGCGCGTACATTGACTTAGAAAAGAGGGAATTTTAAATTTTTCCTTATTGCTTAAAGAAAATTTTTGTGTTCTTCTATTTAATGATTCTAATTTCCATTTTTGATAAAAACCATTTGTTAAAATGGATAAACCATCATGTAAATAATTACGAAATTCTAAAAATGCACTTTGATGTCCAAGTGATAATGAACCTTTCTTATGTCTTGGTGCTTTATATTGTCCAATATATCCAGGCGGTCGGGTTAATTTTAAATTGAAAATTAGACCACGTGCAGAAAATTCATCATCTTCACTTCCCCAACCCCAATGACGTGTTGGGAAGCCGTTTATCTGTTGTTGACAAAAAAACAGAGTAAGAAATCACTATAAGAAGTTGAATCAGTCATTAATAAAGTATTAAAAATCTTTTTTTAGTGTAGTAAACAAGCTTTTATAAGGTTTATTAAATAAGTACTTGTTTAACAAGTAACAACCAGCGGTAATTTTATCTAACCCTGAATATTGATCTAATTCAATCGGTCAGCTGGTGTATTTACGGTAGATAATTGGAGGCAGTTTGAGTTTTTGCAATCTTTCAGGTAGCCCTCACAGAAGTAAAAGGGACTGAGACAAATCTTCAGCTTAAGAAATCCTATTCATTTTTTTCAAACAAACAAAGTATGATGAACACTGAACCTCTAGATCACTAAACCGGCATCCAACGATGTTAATGTCGTGGTCTAAACGGCCGTCCAGTTCTTCCAGGTTTCTAATGGTGGTTTAACAATGATTGATTTATGATTTCAAGGGAAAAAAAGACTACACTTGAAGGAGGAGGATAATTATTGTTCATTAAAAACAGAAAATAGTTAGTTGCTAACTCATAACATTCATGTGCTCAAATTTGAAATATCGCCAAATACTGACAGAGACGTAACTGTCAGTTCAAATCCAAGAAAGATAGCGATAGTAGAATTATTACCAGTAATGGAGAAGATTAGGGAGCAAAGATATGATTCGAAAAGCATAATTCAATGAGATAAATTTAGAAGGAGAAAGGTAGAGATGATGAGGAATTCAGGTTAGAATTTCATAGAACACAAAGAGCGGATGCACCTGCGCGACTGGAAACGATTCTTAGCCATGTCGTTCAAGGTCTCTAATCATTGGTAACTTTCGTCACTCGGACCCCAACCAGATAGCCTACGTCTACCGACATGACTCAGTCCTCTTGTCAGTGATCTTAAGGATTCGTGCCACGTTTTGGTCTGACCGCCCCTAACTTTCTTCCAACCTAATCCTACACCACAAAACATAGCTCGTCGTGGCAGTCGGTGGTTGGCCATACGTAACACATGTCCCAACCACCTCAACTGATGAAGTCTCAATACTTCATCTATTGATTTGCCATCCTTACCTACAACTCGTTTCCTAACGATAGCATTGCTTATTCGGTCGTCCCAGGATACACGAAAAATGCTTCGAAGATACCGATGATCAAAGACAAGCAACCTACGAATGTCATCTACTCTCACTGGCCATGTTTCACATCCATGTAGTAGGACGTAGTGAACTGCTGCTCAGTACACTCGTCCTTTGGTTAGCAAGTGGATATCTCGCCTACGCCAGAAGTGACGCGAGGTGACAAAAGCCAATCGAGCCTTCTATATTCGAGCTGAGATTTCGCCAGTCACCAGGCTATCGGCACTGATGAGACTCTCGAGATAAGTGAAGCGGTCTACACGCTCAACTACTTCACTCCCTATCAATAGTTCAGGTACCGATGTAACCTAATGTCGAAAAAAAATTTTGCATTTCCAGGAGAAAACCACATCCTGAACATGCTTGCATTGTTGCTTAGGTTGGTCAGAAGACTCTGCATTTATCCAGATACTGAAAACATTGATTTTAAAAAGCAGCCGCAAAAGTAAATATACAACTCATTATTTTTAAATCACTTGACATTAAGATAGAGTTTCTTAATACATCCAACGTTAAAGTATAGTACATATACAATGGTCAAGGTTTTGTCAGATTTAATGTTCTCAAATAAAAATCAATAGTCAAAATTAGCATATTCCTCAATATGAGAGAAAAAGATAGTGCTATCATACAAAACAGAAGTTAATACAAATTACATACATATTGTACATTTAACTCATATAATATAAAAATTAAACAGTTCCTGTCATGATTAGAATTAACCACTTTATTTGAAACTATGAATAATAACAGTTTAAGGATACATAAGTTCATCAAGATAATTTACGTCATTAGACAGAAAATTCCTATATAAGTATATGCTGCAATGAACTAGCATTCTATGTTCTAAGATGAACTCTGATATTAATTTATATGAGGTTTGTTCTGTTAGATTACTTATAGTCGCAATGTTAATAACTGAAGTTTACTGAGTTTGATAAATTTGGAAGACTATTAAATAGAATACGCTCTTACTCTATTTAACATCGAAGACATAAAGAAACTGATACAGGGTAAGAATAGCATTGAAAATTATGCATGGAGGTCAACTAATTGAAATCTTTCCTGAATTTTCATGAGTTGCGCAATAAGACAGTTCTACTCAACATTTCTGAAAGTCGTGAACGTATCACACACAAAATTAAGCATTCGCAATTCAGCTTAGCAATCGTTAAATGTTATAAATACACTTCGTGTACGAAGAGGAAATGTTCTACTTTTTGGATTTAAAATATTTCTGCGACATTCACTGATATACCTTACCACGCCTTGGATTTAACAGGTTTTTGTAAACAAAACAGAATAGAATAATTGTAACATTCAAGAAGCTTTTTTGTTTTATTGACTAATTAGAAAACAATAAATTATTATAATAACTTTGAATGAAGTTATGACTAAATTTTAAAAGGTTTCTGTACTTAAAGACATTAGGCAATGTCTTTTTTCTCACCTTGAATATATTTTTCTTTGACATGGCAGCAACACCACCTGCATAGTTTATAAACGGTGGATGATATCGAAATTCATCGATGGCTGGTGATAAATGTCTTAATTCTGTATCACAGATATAAAAGTTTTCACTTTTCTCAGGTAAAAGATCAACATCATGAAAGACAAAGCAGTTGATACTTGAATCAATATCCAAAGCATGTAGAACTCCAACATTAAGTAATAGTCCACGATTGAAAGGAGCAGTTCCAGCCTTTGGAGAAAAAAAATGAAGTTCGAGAATCGGAAACTAGATGAATTTTCTAAATACAGAAAAATACAGTTTTGGGAATGATTTTGAATTTGAACGAAACTGCATTTATAACCGTGTTATGATTGTCAGCTTTTGACCGAAATCATGTAAATTAAGTCAGCAGAGTTTGTATGTGAGTTGACTGGTCATGTATTTTTTTCACATTTTGACAATAATTTAATTTTACTGAATAAAGATAAATAAGAAGATATCTAAGCACCAAACCTAAAACATAAATGACTTGGCCTGCATTACTGAATTTTTACAATAATAAAATAGGAAATTTGTCAGAAAAGTTTTAAACGTTGAAAGACAAAGAGAATATAAGTTGAGAAGCTACAGTAGATAAGACTGACTGGGATCTTCATGTTTTAGTGACAAAAGGTGAGTGGATTCGCTTAATTGAAATAAATTTTTCCCCATTCCATCAACTAATGATTTCTATTATCACGCTGAACACTGTAAAATAAGGACATAAGTAGACACACTGACTAGATATCTTTCGCTGAGCTTTTTGCCATTAAAAAACCCAGTCTTACTTGCTGGACCTTGGTGGTTGTAAATGGCAACTTAGTAGGTGTGCTTAAAATGATACAAATCTATCAATGTATCAATGAAAAAGTCTGAACACTAAACAAGGTCCGTCCCGGAACAAATCCTTTAATTTATGGGGAAAAAGTAACCCTGACATTTCTTTCAGTATGTTTATCGACTGAAAAAATCATATGCGTATTCTTAGTCAATATGTAACTTTCTCAGTGAAAATTTAGATGAATAAACCATCAAAACCATTTAAGAAGAAGTAAAATCAAAATTGAGTCAAGCGCATACATTATTGATGCAAGAATGAACCGTTGATTGTTTTGTTTTCAAACTAATTAGCAAAGAAAGATAGCCTTCTGCGAGCTAGATCATGAAATGAATTTGGGTTCGGTAAAGTTTGGGATCTCCAGGTCGAGTAAGCTTTTCATTTGTTGGAAATAAGTTATTGACATTATTGATCATATTTCACCAACACATTAAGTGTTATATTTAGTCAAAAAGTAGAATAAGATTAAAAATTGGTTTTTTGAACTGAATAGGCAACCATCGTATTTACTTGGCCAATAGTCGCGCTGAACAATGTAGTTTACATTCGAACCCCCGACATAGTAACTTATTAGTTACAGACAGTATGGGTTTTCTTCATGTAAAGTTAGCTTTGGCTAATATGAAATGGTACATTCAAGTAACAGCCTACCGTTCTTACTGTTAAACAGAGAAACAATAATCATGGATAAATAAAATGAACCATTGAGCAGCGAGTCTAGTTTATTTACATTTTTTAATAGAAGAGTTTTCACTCCTGTTAACACGATAAATCGATAGTCAAATAATTAGCGAAGATAGAAATGTTTGTAAATTGTATAATCAAAACAAGTTATTTACCTGCTCGATCAAGAAAACATAATACGGCATATTTTGTCGTAACAGTAGGGCATGTAGTCTCGGTAATAGCAATTTCAGGTGATTTTCTCGTTCCCTATAAGGTATAATGACAGCTATTTTTTGTGAAGACAAACATTTTGGTTTCCAACTACCATCGCAAACATGCTGGGTGGTATTTACTATGTTCAAAAAGTCAGTGGGAGAAACGGAGTTGTATTGGGTTAGATCGAGGTTATCTTTCTTGGGGCAACAAACTATTGAATAATGGATTAATCATTACAAAAATACCTTCACTCCCTGGAAGACTGCAAAGCTCTCGATCGATAAGTTCATCCGGATAAGTATATACGACTCTACTTGGAAGATTCGGAAAGCGAGATATAATGAAGAAAACCACCACAATCAAGTATATTATCATGCACAGCTTGTAACGACATAGCGAAAGATAGTTTATAAAACGACTCCCACGAATAAGAATTATGAATTTCTTCATCGATGAAGAATATAATTTGACATATAAATCACACTCAGGAACGGTGCTAGAACACGCTATAACTCACTTAGTTTGCAAGATAGATAGCTGGAATAACGTTTTCAGCCTGTCTGTCGGTGATTTTAAAACCAATTGTTCCGCCCAAACAAGCAGCTAGGGCGAATTAGGGAAAAGTTCTCACACATAATGATCAGAACATAGTAAAATGAGCTAAATGTGATTATTTGGATGCGTTATAAAGTGTATCAAGCGATGAAACAATAGGAAATTAATGTAGCCTACAGGGCGGATCCTAAACATCGCGGCAATGATAGGCTACACTGTTGTCATGCAATGATCAATTTCCAATATCGCTTAAGTCTTTTCTTCACGAACTTTCACAAACGGTCGAATTTCACTACTTTCTCTTTCCATTGTTTGTGATGGTTCCAGGCATGCGCTTGTTTCTAATGCATATTAGACAAGTCACTTAACAGAATTAATTCTGGTCAGCTTGGCAGCTATTTATGAATTCGTATACCACTTAATGTGAGTCCATTTGTCTGAGGGCTGTAGGGTTTGTGGATACCAGCAGCTAACACATTACCGTCCAGGAGATCAGTTAGTTGCAATGTAAAGAATAATAGGAAGAAAATATTAGGCAGAATACATATGTTTGAGAAACCGAATGGATAATAAAAGTGAATTCATTGGTAGAGATGATGTTGTGGGAGGACAGAATCGTAAGGATAATGGGGGAGATGGAGATGATAATAGGAAAGACAGAATAAGTTAGAGACCTGAGGAAATGACAATCATGACATCAGGCAAAGCTGATGCACGAGGGAGAAGACAATCGGTATGCAACTACGGGTTCATCAAGTTTCTTCTTGAAGCTGTCGACTGAGAGGGCTGCGGTAACCTTGGCTGACAGAGGAATTTAAGTTACGGCCACTCTCATCGAGAAATTGTGTGCACTACACTGAGGGTTACTTCGAGGGCCGTGTTGATGATGTTTTGACATAATGCTCATGAAGAAATGATTCGGCGTGCTTATTATGCTGTAGGACATTGTCAGGTCACCTCTTATTCTCCAATAACTCCGTGGAAATCGTCTAAGGTTTTGGGGTCTGTCTTGGTCACCTGTGTTTTTTATTCCTATCACTAATTAAGTTGCTCGTCTAGGCAAACCACCTGGTGATTTTTCGGTATGTTCTAAAAAAAAGGGGTGAAACGACGTTGAGAACGTCGACGTGTGTCTGTGCGCATGTTTTAAGCGGTGTTAAGAAGTTTTCATCGTATAAAGTGAAGAGTTACATTAGCCTTCAATGGTTCAGTTTTAACCCATTATCCACTGTGTATTCCTCAACAGATGTAAGGTCCTTTTGAAGCGAATTTGAATCCTCTTTGCTTGTTATGGACATCTAGATCTTTGAATCAACTGCATAGATCAAAGCAGTTGAGCTCATATTATGAAGCAGATCGATAATGAATATCAGGTAGAGGAATGGACCTAAGAATGGCAGCCGTGAAACTCCGGATGTTCACACTTTCTGACTCAATTGCACTCTATTTATCTTGGTGTAAAACTTTCTGTCCTCAAGACAGTTTCTGAGCTAATATAGCAGTGGATCAGTGAGGCCAATATTCGTAACCTTTTCATTTGGAAGTTTGTATGGTATTGTGTCGAAGTCTTTTACGAAATCGAGAAAGATTATTGGAACTGGTGTCTTTCGGTCCTTGCAGTTTGTCCAGCTGTTCCATTATGTAATAAGATACGTCCTACTCTTCTAAAACCCATGATGGGCTTCATGGAGGATGTTGTTCTTGTTACGAGCTCTCTTATTTGCTCATTCAGCTGTCCTTCCATTACCTTCGATAGTACTGATTGTAGAATCCATTTTGAAGGCTTTGCTTTGTGAAAATCCCTCCATGTACATTTTTGTATTATCTTTTTACTGACTCTTTCTGTGCTACATTGTGGTGGTCCTTTTAATCCTATTTTGTGATGTTAGTATTTGTATTTTTTTATAATTTCTACTTTTTGTACCTTTATTGAAGTTTCTATGTTTCCTTCTGAACTGTATCATGTTGATTAAGTTGATACTTAATTATGGCTACATCCATATCAGATTTGAAACCTTGTCGGGTGAAGCGTGCTTCTGGACTAAAAGGGTGCAATTTGGACCTATACGGAAGCATTCTTCCAGAATTGGAAACCCATTGTGTTATTTTGGACGGGAAACAGTGTTATATTGTTTCATATTGTCTATTATCAGTTTTACTGTTCTAACTTACACTCTATTGACTTAAAATTGATCACTTAGTGTTATCTGTTGTTCCACTTTTAACCGTTATACTTTTTAAGTTTCCTGCTGACTTCTAAATGCTTGTGTGGAAATCCGTACTATTTCTCCGTAACTGTTAACTGTAATACGTTAATGCCTAACCAAAAGTTCATAAGTTGTAACAGCCAGACAAGTCTGTGAAAGGAACTTTCAGAAATAGTGTTTCTCAACAGGATATGAGACATAGAACACCAAGTAGAGCATAAAATAGTTCCTTTTAATCACTTAACATGAGCCTAACAACACAAAAGGAGGGAGGGTGGAGTTGCTGACCAGCAAACATTGATGGTGTGGGTGATGACTTCAAATCACCCATATTTGTGGTGCAGAACATTTTGTGTGCTTTCGGCTCTTTTGATTGATGAGGCGACTAATCAGTAACACTGAGGTTGCTCTTATACACTTGCTCCTTCTGAGGCTCACGTTTCCAAAACTATGCTGAGGTCGCTATTCTGTCAAGATACCCGCAACATGCTTACTCAGGAGCTTACAGTATGATTTAGAGGTAGTCATAGAATGAAAAAACAGTTAGACAGTGAAGATTTTTACAAACTCTACTCCTTTAACTGAAAATTCGATTTCAACCTACATAAATCCAGCTTCTTACAGCAACTTCTCTTATATCCACTTGACAATCCACAGCTCTTCCTTCTTCATTGATGTACTCCTTCATTTGTGGGTTATATTCTCATCTTCCCAAAATTTACTTTAATTTTAGTGGTCAGTATGAGTTTTACCTTGACTTACCACTGCATTGACTACTTCAACATGACAGGTTAAGTAGTACTTCGGTTAAATATATACACTTGCCAAGCTGCTGCCTTTTCTTCTCACTCTCTTTTCAGAACCCCATTCACGCGGGAAATCCATGGCGACTCTAGGGAAGATGCACCCTGTGTACATGCATGTTTGGATCACACCTTGTATCAAGTGCGTCCCAATAGACCTTTCCCAACAAATTCACTATTGTTCTCAGCAAACTGCCAAAGGAACCTACTGTGCACCTTCTTTATTTGTACTTTCTTATTGAAAATGTGGCTGCATCATATGTTTCTGTAAGTGACATGGTGTAAATGTGCTATCAGAAACTGACACTTATATTTAATTTAACTGCCATAACTTTTACAGTAAATGTGAAAGCATTTGTGACAATTTGATCTAGCTTGTAAACTGGCATGCCTCTTGTAAGTTAGTTATTTGCGAATAAATATTATTATTATTATCTGTATTTTTTGATCAATAATACAACCGTTTCTTATCTAGATAAACTGCTTTCTTCCTGGATTAACTGGGCAAGGCGCGTATCTAAACTTCTAGAACCGAGGAAAGTCCGAGGCGTGCGATTTCAGTTTTCTCAATACTAAGTCAGGAGTAATTCGGATATTCCGAAGTCCAACAGCTAGCGCTAAGCCTGAGTAGCAGTCTGAACATGCGGGTACATGCTTTGACTGATCGGTGAAGTTTGTTGAAGGTCTTAGCCATCTCTAGGTTTGTGAGACCTTCGCCATTTGGACGCTGATTTGCAGTGTAACAAATATAGGGCTAGTTTACGACCATCACGATTACTTTGTTTATGACCACGAAAAACATAAATGAGCTATGGTCATTGCTTCCTATAAATGTAGGGACATGGATACCCTCAGCAAAGAGCTGATAATTTATTATCAGATGGTCCAAGTTTGACAGTTTTCCTCCTTTTGTCCGTCTAGTGGCGCTGCATAAATGCTCAGTTAGCTCAGAACTTACAGTGGCTGTGCGAAGTCGACTCTGGAATCAACCAGTGGGAGTTGTGGCCTGTTTGCCAAGATTTAAAAATGGACTGTTGAAATTTTCAATCACGACTATTTGATCAAGTCTAAGTGGTTGGAGTTAGAGTGTTGCCTCAGTCCTCCTATGTTTTTACGCATTAGTACTTGAAACAGGCCAACAAATCCCGCCAAATAAGAATTTTGTATTAACTGGGTTGCAGCAACTCCAGCAGTATTCTATCATAACGGTTAGCTGGGTGCAGTGCAGTATTGGAGCTTTGAAATGGCTGTTAGTATATATAGCCACTTCCCCCCACGTCTTATGTATTTCATGATATCATTTGACTATCATCCCCTTCAATTTACTCTTCACTCCTCTTACGTTGCTGTAAAAGTAATCGATGGTTCGTCTCATCACGTGGTGATCCTCTGCAACGACAGCCGTACTCAGATTTTTAAAGATTTTTAAACAGAACTGGCCTCTTCAGGTTTTTCGCTTGCCTAGCGCATATGGCTGGCTAGAACATGATCTTTGTATCCTCCGCCATGGGTTGGTGATCGAGGTTGAGTGTGCTTATTCTGGCCTTTTTGTTGTTGTCCCACAGATCTAGGTCGTCTCTCGCAACATTTAGTGTGATCGGTCTTCATGCTGCACCAAGCCTGCAGCGCCTCAATCAGGTTTTTCCGACTACTGAAGTTCACAGCTATCAGAGTAGAGACTTAATGGTCACGCTATTTGAAGGACGAGGCTGCCATGATACACGAATTACCACTTCGGTATGGAGGCCACCGCCGTTGTCGCACATCATGTGCGTGAGATTCATTTAAGCTACCACGAACCAGCTCAGGCACATCTTGACCACCATACTGGTCTGCTTTAGCGGGCTTTTTGATGTCCCGGCGTTAGAAAGGCCTCTTCGGTGACTTAAAGTGATTCCGAACCTAGTATCAACGGTGAGGATTTCCCTTTAAAGAAGTTCTGGCTCTTGAACAGACAGCATGGTTTGAGATGGGTACTGATCACCCCAATCATTACACTGTATCTATCCTATCATTCTTTATCAAAGGAAATCTCACTATCTTTTTCCTACATTCACCCTTTGCCTCATACGGTTAACAGACACTGGAGAATTTACAGCAATGGTAGCTTCGTTGATTTGCCGATTCAGCCCTTGGCTGCCTTTTTTACTTGTTTAGTCGGCATTTCTTCGGTCGAATTTGGTTTACTTTGGAAGACTGGAAGGTTTATTTCAGGTGCGACCTGTACCAATTCTTTTTTCTTAGTAGACAAACGAACACGAATCACGGACTGGCGTTACTCAGCATGAACTCATTATACTGTCTAGGCGCTGTAGTGTCTCAGCGACAGTGAACATATGCTCTGCAAAAGTTACATTCAAAAACATAGTCACTAGTTTAAGCTGGCAGCTAACATGCATTACAGTTTTCTTGATGTGCTTTCTGAACTGTAGGCTGTTGTGTGAGTCTCAGGATGAACCTGAAGGACAATCGAATTCGCAACGTTAACTTTGATCCTCCTGGTAAGCAACTTCGCGCAGATCTTGTAACACTTTAACAAGTCCTGTGTTTACGAGTATATAAACTTGTGTATGTTACCGAAGCAACTAAGAATGAAGCAGTTGTTCGAGACAGCTAGACGTGTCGCATTAAGGTTCCGACTTTGAATGATTACTTTCTTACTAACTGTCACCACGATTGTCTACCAGTCAGTCAAGGCCATCTGATATAGCAATAATAGCCGGTGAATTCAATGCTCAAGTAGAAAGACTACGTGAAAAGGAAAGAAAACTGGGTTGATCTTATGGTGTCGCAGCTTAAAGAACAGATAAAAGCTACTGTCTGTTGCAACTACACTCAGATAACCGCCTATTTCTAGCAAACACTAACTTCAAGCATAAGGAAAAGCATCTTTTGACATGGTGACCCCCAAAGTCGTCACAAAGCTGAACCCAACTAGATCACATCGTCATCAGCTACCGATGGAGAGGTTTGATAGAGGACTGTCGCTCATTCTGGGGCACATGCCTTGATTCAGATGACTAACCGGCTGACAGAGTCAATAAAGGCAAAGTTTATATCCTCTGAAATGTTTAATTGTCCCAATCTGGAGTATTTCCTTTTACTGGTGAGAAGTAAACGGAGACCTTTCACTTTCGAAGAAATTGATGTCCTAAATTTCAAGGGACTGTTAACTTTCATGTTCTCACTCCAAGACCATTGCATTTCTTTTTCAGCTTTATATCTCGTGACGTGTCCGAGTAGACATCTCATTAGTTACACTGGACATATTAAAGTTAAAGTAGCTTGGTCAAGTGACTGTAGAAGATCAACTAATGGTACATTTTTCATGCCACCGCTCAAACTGTTAGTCAGCTTACCTCACATATTTCTCAGAAGAGTGACTACATTCCAAATAAATGTTTCAGTTAATGTAACTGAATGAGCTCAGCAATTATTACTTTCATAATATTTGAAAGGCTGCCCTAGTAGGTAAATGGATACGGCTGAGACGAATCAGCTGCATGAATGTGATGAAAGTATATTGTTTTACGGATTGCATTTTGAATTTAGATTGATGTCAAGACTCTGATGAAGTTTGAAAAACATACTGCAACTGCTATGGAATGAATTTTTGTGAAATTACTAAGGTGATCAAATGAATAGTGAAAATTTATTACCAATGAAGATAATTGTTCGTTAATTTAACTTATTGAGTTTTTTGCATTACCTGTCTTTTTATGATTGTTTGCAGCTGCTTCTTGCTCGCTAAAGCTCTGTATACTTGAAAGTTGTTTTCAGTCACTATGAATACAGAGCCGTACTAATCTGGTTTGCATTTCTTGACCTATTATGAATACTAAGTTCCCTGCAATTCATTTTTTCCTCGTATTAGTCACCGGGCATTAATGGATTGTGTGAATTTTCATTATCGTTTACGAGGAAATCTGGGAATAGTAAAGCAGTTCAGTCGTTCATCCCAAGTTGTGTGGGCTCATACTGACACCCAACAGCGTAATATAGAAAATATTTGTCTCGAAGTGAATAGATCTAAAATCAATAAAGTATGTCATTTAGAAAAAGATTATTCTTATTTACTAATTTCTATTAAATTTGTGAAGTGTTCAAGGAATGAACTGCTTGAAGTCAAGCAGGAAATGCTTCGATAAGCAATGTAACAGCTATTAGCTGTAGACGAAAATCGAAACGAAACCTTGGAACATACGATACAAAAGATATGAAAGAATAAACGTTATTCATTGGATACAGGACAAAGAAAAGTAACTGTGAAAATCTTAGAACAAAACATTTACAATATTAGGTTTATTAGATACCATACCACATCTCCACTTGCTTAAAAATAATCTATATTCATATTAGTTACTTAATGTTAGTGAGTAGCATAGTGTAATGCATAAAAAGATATGGATATAGAAAGGGAAAGAAAAAGTAGAATAAATGCTGTTCAACAAAAAAATCACAGATCAACATGAGCATGAATGGGGAAACGCATTGTTGGGACGTGATCATGCTTGCTTCTGAAATGTTCAGCAGGTTTAATAATTTCTGAAATATTTCGGACTAAATGATATCTCTAGAAAATTCTCATAAATACCTAGTTTCATTTTGTTAGTTTCTTACGTTTTGTAGAGAACTGTAGACTTAAAATTTCCCTGGTAATCATGATACTTAACACCGTCAGTAAACTACTATCGTTAGTAACACTTCTTTTCATTTCATTATTGGTTCAAGTATCAGTATGTGCAGTCCAGATATGACAGGGGGAGTCTGTTCACAGAGTTAAGTTCAGTGAACACAAAAACAAGCCAACACAGTTGAATATCCAAATGACAGCTCAAATCGGGACGTGTTTCTTTTGTTTGTGCCACTGAAACTTGTTGTTCAGCGTCGGAAAAACAATTTAGTTTATTTGTCTTGTGATTTAAATTTATCTTTATTCCTTTTCTAAAGAATAGTTTCAAAAGCGATCACCTTCCTCATAATATGTAATTGAAATACTTCAAACAAATCATGGTTACTATGTTACTTGAAGAAATGATGGTCGTTGAGTTAATTCGATTGCGACAATTACAAATAGACTAATTACATTATTTGGTTAGGCATTAATAAATAAATAGAGGAGTCTATGTACAAATGAAGTTGAGAACAATTAAACATATTCGACCCTTAGAGCCTAACTTAAAAGATACACATGTGCTTGAATTTTATAAATTCTAAAAGGATACTTACTCTTTTGAAAGTAAGAAAACAGTACGTCTTAAGAAACTATATCTACCTAAGCCATCAAACTGTGGAGTCGAGAGGAATCAAACGGTGTGGAAATATTATTTCAAACTCTAAAATTATTAGTACATGATTTCCTTAATTAATATCACATTAAACTATTGAAACGTTGAGATCTAATTTGAAGATGACTTATTAGCGAAAACAGTTTATTTTCAATTAGATCAAGTGTTTCATTGAAAGGCATCATGAATACAAGAAGAAGAAAACCACTGAACTTCTGTACTGACGAAAACATTGAATAGATATGGTTTCATGTACATTTCCACCACTGGTTCACTGTTCAGATAATTATAGATGGACTAGATTCAAGAACATTGTTTGAGTATAAAATTCCAAGAAAATGCTAGACAATGAGAAAAGCTACGACGGCCTAGAGCAATAACTTTTCTGAACTCCTAAGGATATCTCAATCAATGAAATAGCCATTGAAAGGTGAATCGGTATCATGTTGATTTACTCTGTGTTTTTAAAACACAATTACTTAGTTTTTTTTACAATCAGACTTATTAGAAAGGATAGCGATTAATTCAAAATGAAATAATTTCAAAATGCTAAGAACTTCCTGCATGATTTATTTATATGTTCCATCTTTGTTCGAAACAAGTTTTCTGTTGTTCAGTGGATCAGTTAATTTTAAATACCATTTTCAAAAGTTTTTATGTTTAGTTTGTTCCTTGTATAAGTCCAGTAATCAACCAGCGCTATCAGAAAATATCAGTTACGACAGGAAATGTTAGAGGCTCAACATTTCGAAGCGAATAACACAGAATTCAATATACAAACAACAATTAAATCATTACTGATCATTTCATATCAATAATATGCTACACAAATGTACACGTATTTTAATTCAATATACCTCTTCTAATTACCAATGGTTTTAATTATTTCCCAACATCACAGTATGTTACAAGTTCATTTTAAAACAGTTCATAGTTTATGAAGATATATAACTAAAATAATTTACAATTACAGTTACGGAGATTTATAGTTTTATGCACAGTGAAATCATCAGTCAATCATTGCCAGACAACCATTAGAAACCTGGAAGCACTGGATGGCCGTTTCATCCTGGTATGGGACTCATCAATGCAGTGCGCATCCACGACTCCTGCAGGATTTGAAATCAGGGACCTTCGATCTTGCGCGTGAACGCCTAACCTCTGGACCACTCACTGCGTCGGCATCCAACGGTGTTAATGTCTAAAAAATTAATTTAACTGAAAATGATATTGTTGGGATAGCCAATCAAGAAGCCACCCACCCACACACATAGTCGATTGATGAACTTATCGATTAAATGCTTAAATATTTTTAAGGGCAGTCGACTGATGAACTATTTGATTAGTGTTCAAATATTTTAAACGACAATATCAATTATTTGTATAATTGTTTAAATACGCATGTTCGATTGTATATTTTTGATTCTGTTAGTAAGTGTTCTTCAACGTCTTCCGTCTTCTTATTTTTGAACGGTAGGAGTCTAACGTTCGGTGAAGTCATTTGTACAGTAGTGGTTTGGGGTTACTCAAGAAGAGAACATAAAAGATATCAAATGAATATTGTCTCTCTCTGGCTCGCTCGCTTGCTCACCAATTAGATTAATGATATACATCATATTTCGCATTATAAAACGTTGGTATATAAAAGCAAGACAATGAAAATTCAGTCTTTCTTCATGTAGTTGTAACAAGTGTAAAGGCAATTGAATTCATTGATTACAACATTTATTCCATATGAATTACCATGGAAAGTGATGGAAAGTAGATGAAGGATTTATTTAAAAAACAAATTGTATTCTTCTCATATAGACGAATGAATGCAAAAGTAAGGATTGATTGCCAGCTTGATAAACGAAACTACGAGTAGATAGATAGAGTTAGGTTCCGAATGCGTTACAGTGTGTTTGATTGAAAAAAAAAGAAAAACTGTACTCTTTTCTTTTTTTTAATGTATGTATTGTATTCAATAATTTGGTCAAATTTTATCATCACATAAATACAATGTTTGTTATGTAAGAATTTGTAAATTAATTCACAATGGAATAAAGTGAAATTGTACAATTTCATATAAAAATTAATTGATTGACTAGAAGCATTCTGTTAAGATTGAAATGCTATAAATTATTCATCGAATAAGATTAATTTTTTTTGTTATTGACAAGAATTAAAAAGAATCCGAATGGGAGATAAGTGTTGTTGATACAATAGTTAAAAAGCATAGAGTATTGATTTTCGTTTTTGAATAAAAGATAAAAGGAACGTGATTCACTTGTGCCCACTTGAGATCAACTGTTAACAAACACATGGAGAAATAAATTACAAGTAATGTTTGTGAAGTAATGTCTTTTATTGATTATATTTTACATTGAACTCTTATTGTCGCTGAATGTGTCCACTAGTTCATTGTTATTGACTTTCAATTCTGGAGGCTAAAATTAATTTAAAAAAATAAATTAGGCATCAAGTAAAATATTTTGTAACAAGAGTATAAAATAACAGGTTTATGAAAAATGATTCTATTAAAAATTCTGTAAAGGTTAAGATCATTTAAAATGACTGATCTTTGTTTGGAAATTCGTAAGCGATATAGGTAGATGTTGTGTGACTTACTTAAAACTTGTATAAAACTGGCACATCATTATTAATCGATCAAAGTTAGACTACCATTAGAAACCTGGAAGCACTGGATGGCCGTTTCGTCTTGGTATGGGACTCATCAGTGCAGTGCGCATACACGACTCCTGCACTTCGCAGGACTCAAATTCAGGACCTTCGGTCTCGCCTGCGAACGCCCAGCACGAAACGGCCGTCCACTGCTTCCAGGTTTCTGATGGTAGCACAAATTTGATCGATTCATGATTTCAATCGTGTAACTTAACAATCTATCTTCACAACCCCGTAATACCTCATTATTACTAAACAACATTAAATATGAAAGATTAAAATACATCATTTTTACATGTTGCGTAAAACGCGTGAATTTTTTTGTATTTTACTAAAACAAAAATTACTATTTGATCGTAAATACAGGTAAAATACATATTTATTTATAAAACGTAATTTTAGTGTTAGAAAATAGTCCAATTGAGAAACAGTGACTCACTTAGACATAAGAAAAATCATTATTCTTTGGATTGTCAGTGTAGGAATGTGAAAATTGTTGAGGTTTATTGAAATTGTAAACTGACCAATCTTAGATCACCATTAAAACTCGGAAAGCACTGGACGACCGTATCGTCCAACAATAGGACTCATCAACAGTGCCCACCAAAGATCGCACAACCAGAAGTAGAAAACAACGACCTTCAGTCTGTCAAATGAATGCCTAACCTCTCGATCACTGAGGCGGCATCTAACAGCACTAATAACTAACTTTAATTGCGTCATATCCAGATAACCATTAATTTAGCGGTGTTCCTTATTATCATAAAAATGCACATTAGGGTGCACAAACTGTCCATAATTTTTTTTCCCAAATTAACTGAAAGTCCCCAAGTTTCAAATTTTTCAGTTATTGAACGCGAAAAAAATTCCAGGAGTTATATGATTAATCAATAATAATAATAATAATAATAATAATAATAATAATTAAAGCGTTAATTATTTTCGCTAAGCCAATAAATTAATAATTTCCCTTTAAATTGAAATCGTATAGAAAGTCAATAAAAAAATTTTCAAATTTTATGTTTCAGATAAAATTGTTTTTGACAAAACGTTGCTGAAAACACCAAATATAAAATTTAAAGTATTCTTGTCATGAGATCGATATCATAGTAAGAGAATATTATACATTGTTACCATGTGTTTAGTCATTTCAGACGATTCGTAAAAGCAGAGCTATTTATCATTTTACATAAACAGGCAATTAAATGACAACTGTACTTAATTGCAAATTTTTGCATAGATCCTGTTTGTTGTTATGACAAATGTGTACTGAATTATTTCAAACAAACAGTTAACGATTCATTCATTCAGTAGGTTTTCGTAGTTTTCAGTAAATATTCAATTGTTGCATGAAACACTCCCCTAATTCACGCAATCATCATCATCATCATCATAGAAATCATGAACAAATAAATCAAAGTTTATATAAAGTTTATTTCTCATTATCGAGGCAATAAATTAATTTTTCTTTTTTAATAATTTGTTCAACTCATGCAAATAACAAAAAGTGACTTTTGTATAAAACAAAAATCTGCCAAAACATAGAAAAGCGAAATCGGAAGAAAAAAAACACTATATTTTCCAATGTAATTTAATATTACTCTGTTATGCGGAAAAAAAGATGAATCTCTCGATTAATTGTCATTTTAAGCCCGGAAATCGATGAAATGAGGTGTAATCACGCTACAACAGGATCACATCATGAAATAGTTTATAAATGCTAAGCTACTGATCAAACAAGTGAAAACCATAAAAATAACTTGTCAAAACAGAAAAACAAAAGTGGAGAAAGTAAACAGTATGAGTAATTTGATTTCGATAGTAGTTTTTAGTGAGGTAGAAATTCTGTTTTAGCTAAATTAGATGGGTTTGTGATGAAAATTAACTGTTGTTTATTGGAACGTAGAGGTTTTGTTTCGGTTTTCTGCCTATTTGTTACTCAAAGGGCTCTTCCACGATCAACTACACGGTTGTATTCACTAGATTTGTTAACTGGGTTTTTACAATATTGATCATTCTTTATGCAAGTCACTATTGGCTCGACAAACGTACTGACTACAGAAATAGCCATACGATTTCTTGTATTTAACTTAAACTCTATAAAAATGGGCTTTTGTCATATTTGATAACAAAGTCTGACTGTCTGAAAAATTAGCTCACTACTGACTATTGATTGACAGTGATTCTGTTAGCAAAAAGTTCACTTCATTCGTTAGAAAACTAACGAGAGAGAGTTTCCCATTGACGCACAGAAATAAAATTTTATCATTCTTGTTTACTTGACCGATAACCTTTAAAATACAAATCTTACGTATATTTACACTGGAGTGATTGAAAAATGATGATAACTCAATGGACTGATCATTTGTCATTCATTATTTCCAGTGGTTTAATCAACTCACACAAACTTGTCTTCAAAACTTCGAGCTGTGATCATACAAAGTGATCATTAGCCAATTCATTGTTACTGAAATAGTAAACACTGTTTATTACTTGTCTGATAACAGTTATTGACCTTCTGTTATTTAAGGAATTGGTGTAACTATTAGGGAAGCTGAATTTAAATCGAATAACATAAGTTGACAGCTTAATCAAATTGTAATACTTCATTCAGTCTGAACAATCTCCAGTATGATGACGTATGAGGAGTGCTATGCTAAGATTAGACAACTGATCAGTGATTGTAACTGCTCAATGGTTGTTCAACTAAGATGGACTTGTGATTGCAATAAAATTTGCAATATTATTATTAGTGTAAAGAAACAATCCAAGTCCCAGAATTTTATCTTCTTGATGGCACAATATTTGAAAGCATTTCTAATTGTCTTTAGCGGAACACTCTCTCTAAATTAACTATTTAGCTGCTAGATCCATTTTTGAAGGTTTTGTTAATGAAAACCCCTCCATGTATACATTTGTAATTTGTCCTTATTGGTTCCTTCAGTTGTACATTTGATTAATCTGTTCGATTCTATTTTGAGATGATGATAATATTTGTATTTTATTATAGTTTCTGGTTCTTCTGCCTTTACTGAGTTTCGATGTTTCTTTCTGAACTGCATTTATGTTGTTTAAGCTGATACGTAGTGATGGTGACAGCCATATTGATTTGTTTCTTTTTTGATTGTGTTGTTTGCACTGACTGGAATTGTGCACTTCGATTGTAAATTGAAGCACTCTTGCAGAATAGGAAACACTCTGTGTTATAAAGTGACTAAATATAATCTGTCGAAGGAATCTGATCAATCCAGAAAGGATAGAATATCATTTATTTGTTGATTTGAATAACTGAACAATTGTTGAAGGAATAACCGAGTGGTAATATTTGTCTAGGTAATGATGTACATTTATATTTATGATGAATAATAGAACCGTTATTTACCCAAATCCCTTGTTTTGGATTTAAACTGGGCAAGGCGCATATCTAAACTGATTCACTAGTATAATACAATTCATGAAAAAATAATATCAATACAATTTTTAAAAATTTACATGAATTTGTACGATATCCACATGTAGAGTATGATTATTTTTTGTACAATTCACATGGCCACTCTCTTCTTCAGACTCTTTCTCCGGTTGCATCAATAAAAATGGAATATACAATGAACATCGACTAGTAATGTTTAAAAAAAGAGAAGAAAAAGAAAAAAAAATCACGAAAATGTCTACTAAGATAAACAGATAAAATAAAATACATATATATATATATATATATATATATATATAGGTTAAGGTATTAAAGACCATTATAAAAACAGTAGTGTCAACCGACTAATGTGAATTCACTTGAGCTAACTAGATTGGTAATAATAATTACAAAAATAAGGTTGAAATGTAATTACTGAAATGAATTAGGTTGAGAGTTGGATTGAGCATACACGGAACAAGAATACAAATGAAATTGAAGCGGCTAAATAAAAAATATAAAATATTGCAAATAACTATCTTAGATAAGCATATATACATGTAAGCGCTTCCTACAATATGAATAATAGCGAAAAGCGACTAATGTGAACAATGAACAATACGAAAGAATGAAAAAAGTAATTTATTGATCTAAAGAGCAAAGTTGAAAAATGATCACTGATGAAAAAAAAGAATTGAATATAAATCAACATAAGGACCACCAAAGCAGAGAAAGATTGGTATACAATGATCATATATATTCATATTCAAAACAACTTTCAACCCATTTTGTGGTTATAGTTATTTTCATTTTTATCAGTTGTAAGCAGCTGATGAAAACATAAAGCGTTAAGATAAATTCATATTGTTCTGTTTACAAAATATGATTTTTTGCTCTCTTCAAGATCATAAACAGGACAACACCTATGTAATTTGGAATTATCTGGTCGTCGAAGAATTTAAATTTGTGAAAAACTGACAAATAAAATGCATTTATACAATTAAAGGAACACATGGTAGAATTATAGACATCTGAACGGGGTTCACTTTATTTAACTCAGTGAGATAGCAGCTATGACTTTAGTGACCATCCCAATACTGTCGACAATAACTCTATTCTTTTGTAGTTTCAGCTCCTCAAAAAGACGAATCATTTTTAGAAACGCTTATTGGAAAATAACAAGGGAGTTTGTAATTGCATTTTCCTTAATTAAATAATAATACATCAATTAAGTTTAGTGATTGTCAACTGAATAGCCATATCAATGAATTATTAATCTATTCAAATTTACTCAAAACGACTAACTACCTTAGAATTCATCCCTGTAATGAAACGCCCTGAAATTCAATGAACAACCTCCATAAGAAATACAAAAGGGACAAAGTCAAACTAACTAAAACAAGAAGTGCCAGGTTAGCGAAACGATTGTATAATTCACAAGCAGCCGCGAATGAACTAGTTAACAAGCATTCAACTCGAGTGTACTTTACACTGTAGAAAAGGCGTTCTCGGAATAGTTACAAAACAGTAAACGAAAAGAGAAAGCTAACTACTGAAGTTCAAGGTCCTTTCAAGTTAGGAACGCAGGATGAAGTGAATAAGTCACTTTTGGCGCGAAAATAATAAATTCAAATTTCCAAAAAATAAAATACACAATTCACGGCATTACCAAGCGATTTCTGGGGATCTAATATACTGGTAGATATTAAACCGGCTAATGAAACGTATCATACTGAACTCGATGGAAATACAGTTAAAGAAATCATTAGAAAAATATATATGTATCGATCATTAGGACTTGTATCAAGTAGCAGTACACATGATGTGAATCAGATTCCTATTGCTCAGTCATATGACAAGTTTTTTTGCCACAGCATTTTGATTTGTATTAATTTAATAGATTACTCGATTATGGATAGAAACCAGGATCTTCAGGCCACTTAGTAAATATTAGACTATTTCATTGGTTCACATTTCCAGATATTGTACAGTGAGTGGTCAACTATTTTAAATTAGTTCATACTGCATACCAAAATTTAAATAATCTTCACAAACGTTGTAATACTAGCAATATCACGATCGGAAACTTATTTTAATCATTAACCTGCTGAAATAAAACATCCTTTCTTATGATGAAAACTAAAACGAAATGGGATATTATGAATCAGGTATCAAAGTTTGATAATATAGATGACCTTGTTCAAAATTTCAATCCAAACTTTGTTTCTATATTAAATACTCCAATATCTTTTAACTAAACGTTCAATTTATAAATCCTTTCCATTTAGAAATGTAACCATGTGTTGTTTTGAATACAAATATATATATATATATATATATATATAAGCAATAAACCACTGATCTGTTTATTACAACAAGTCTCTGTACTCGATTATTAAAATTTTTCCCGAATGACTTATCAAAACCAGATTATACATTTGATAAACTGGTAAGAGTGCTTCAAGCTTGATGGAAAAAAAATATGACATTTTGTCCCCAGTTACTCTTAAATCGATTTTATGTTCATGAAAGCTGATTTCCATTTTTTTTCATTTTAGTTTTATCGATTTTTAATGTCTGCTTTTTTTTGTCAGTAAATAAAGCTGATTTTTTTTTCTCGGTCAGTAATATACCTCCCGTGTAATTTTATCATTCTAAACTGATAAGATTATTATTATCAAGTACAATTTTTCTACACAATCATTAGAATGAATATATATATATATATATATATATATATATATATATATCCATATACATAGATTTTACCTGATTCCAATCCAACATCTTACACGAACACAATAAGAAATTGCAATCCCATGTAATTGTTTATTAGCTTTGATTATCAAACCTGTAGAACTAAAAAAACAACAAAACGAACATATACAATTGCGGCACAGAAAAAAACGAACTATTCACAACTGAGAAGTGATCATTTGTTAAGAGTTTATGTCAGAGTGTCATAATCGATATATGTAATATATAAGAAATATTTTGGGTTATTACTAATTTTCATCTGTTATTTTTTTTTGAAATTCAATGAGTGACCTTAATTATAAATGCTAGAATTTAGTTAGGGTTCACTGATTTAATTAGTTAGAATTCAGTGAATTCATATCACTTCAATTTATTAGATATTAGATAGAGTGTCCTATGAAACATTTCTCTCTCTCTATCCTAACCCCATCTATGAATGTATTCCAGTTAAAAAAATTACAAATATTAGACCATTTCAACATAAATTTTTATTTAAGTTAACTTCATTATGTTAAATTCATGTGTTATTTGTTCAAACAAAATATTTGCTTGTCTTAAAATTGAGCGTTGTTTAGTTATTTCTTAAAAACAACTAATTTAATATGATTTTAGAACTTGAGAAGAATGTATTGAGGAATATTCATTGTTCATTATATTACCAATATTGAAAATAGAGTTTGCATTTAAACTAAATGATTTAAGCTACAAGTTATAAGTAGATGATAATTTAAAATATTCAAAATCACTACTCAGTGATTCATCATAATTCAAGTTTTTATTTTCGTTGAATGTGTAGCCTGGAGCGAACAACTGTGACTAATAATTAACTGAATATATAGTTTAAATAAATAGTTTACGTGTGATTGATTGTAAATGTTAATAACATTTGAAAGACATAAACTTGTTTTTATTAGAATTTTAAATTTTTTTTAAAAATTATGTGAAAATTTCTTGTGATCCAGGAGAGAGATTATTTAAATTAAGTAGTCTTACAAACTGAAAAACAATTTGTACGCCGATAGAATTAATTGCTATCTATTTTATTGTACATTTTGTTTGAACTAATTGACGATAGATAAATGGTAAGATTTACAGTAGTTCAATATTGGATAGCATATGGTCGATGAAAGTCACTGTTATTTAAAGGAGTTTAATCCATGTCGGGTGAAAGACAGTAAACCGCTACAGGCAATGAATGAATGTTGGGTTGATTGAAGTTAGACATTGACATCACTGGATGCCCATTCAGTGGTTTAGATGTTAAGTTTTCACACGTATGACCAAAGTCTTTGGTTTGGTTTCTGTCTGCGGGGGTTGTGGATGCTTATGGCTAAAGAGTTTCATTGTAAGACGAAACGGCAGTCCAGTGACTTTAGGTTTCTAATGGTGGTCTAGCTTATATCACTACGGGTTTTCTATTATGGGAATAACACAATCTACACAAATCCCATTTATAAATTTAAATGTATTTCTATAAATAATGATATTTTACATAACAGAATAAACTGAATCCATAAACCTTTAAACTTTATAGCTGATGCTTCAAGTCTACTGATCTGCATTTCTTACTCCTTATCACTTAAAGATACTTTTCTTAATAACCCACCATCATCAGTGATAACGGTTCCCTTTTAGCCTTTTTCTAATCCAGTGATCACTGATTCATATTTGTACTGTGTAAGTTTCAACGCTTGTTCTTGGTTAATATGTAAATTATCTTTAAGGTTTGTCATACCCATAAGAAAATATATCTATACATTTGAGTTTCATATGGTTGGTAGCGAATATCTCATAATTTGTTCAAGTGTAGATTAATACAACTTCATGACAAAACAATTGTTATCTAAAAAATTACTTGAACTAGCATCTCTGTATGATTTTTGCATCAAAAATTCATGTTAAATTTCTGAATGGTGCATTTTGTCACCTAAATATGGATGGTGACCAATAACTACAAATATTTTTAAATTTTCAAGAATATGTAACGCATGGTTTTCAAAAATCAACTTATAACACTGAACTAATAATAGAAAAGATGTAAGCATCAATCATTTTTATCTATTTGTTATTTGTGCATCTAAATAAATGAAGCATCAAAAACATCGTTGATGTTCAAATGTAACATCAGCACAACGGAAGAAATAGCGATTTGTCAATTCAAATCTAAGTTGTGTGTATAAATGACGTTTTTCTCAATCAATCAATTCATCACGAACTTACCATCTGTGAGTGACAATTCTTATCTTCAGTATAGAACTTGCGAAGAGAGTTAAACATTTTAAATATTACAGACTAATCTAAATGTTCTAGAGGTTCTGTTCTAGAATGAGACTCCTTAAGAAGTGAGCATCCATGACCCTACTAGAAGTTGAACCCAGGTGGGCTTTCTTGACTTTCCTGACTTCAACAGTTATCTTTCACATTTTTAGATTGACTAGTATTGCCCATTATCTTTGGGAGAATTAAATAAACTACAGTGCTTACCTGAAAAACGTCACGATAATGTCTGATTATCTTGACAAAAGATGTAACACCTCTCCATTTTTTTATAGAAGACAAGATATAAGATCAACTTTATATACGATTGTTAAGCTAACGTCAATGAGATCGTCGAAAATCATTTTCATTTTACATAAACATTTGTGTCATACATTAAATGTAATAAAAATAGTAGTAGGTAATCTCAGTAATCCCAACATTTCACCCTGTAAACTAATTCGAACATCATCAGTGACTATACTTGATTACTTTACTCAATTTCAATTTGGATAGCATAGTGAGAAGACTAAGATTATTAGAACTATGAACTATGTGATATATGAGGGCAGTATATCCTAAACAATTTGATCATGTATTTAGAGATGGTAAATAAAACGTCCACTAGACAAATAGAGTGTAAGACTAAGAAAGAAAATTAATATGAATAGACAGTGTGAAACATACCAACCTGGAGTTTCACATTAATTGTCTTTCTTATCTTTACACTTCATTCGTCTAGTTGACCTTTTTATTGCCGATTACAGCATCTAAAATTATCAATGGTATACTCGCCAATTGATATGCTTGAATGCTATTACGAGTTCACCTTACTCGGTTAGCGGAACGAAGGTCAACGATACAGTGACACAATAAGCTATTCTAATCTGATTGTCCCCGGCCTGGCTAACTAAATCAAGAAGTCTTGAAAAGATGTAGAAAGTGTATTCTACAAGCACCCAGAAAATATGAGGTATCTAAGTACACAAATCAAACGTATTTAGACAACAACCCCTGGGGGGTCCACAAAATAGCGCACTAAAATGATCTATCAACCAATAACAGTCAAGGATGTTCCGAGCGAGAAATTTAAGCTGAAGGACAGCTGGCGCGAAAACATGGAAATTCGAAATTTCAGCATAAAAATTACAAAATCAGGACTTTTCCAAGTGAGGTCTGAGGATCTAACGTCCCCAACAATCATAGAAACGAAATGCTTTAAAGTTCAATTGCAAAGATTATTCAGACAACGTTTTTTAAGTTAATGTCTTCTGTATATCTGTTGATTGATTTCTGTCAACCTATTTATTTAAAATTTGATGAGTGTTCATATGAATTTATACGATACAATTTATTTGTCATGCAAATCCAAATAGTGCTATCTAACTAACTTACTCATTTACATGTTTATGAATATTTTGCATCATTTCTAAACATTCATTAAAATCTTCCGATAAATTCAATAAGGTAGATGAAGCTAACCAATTTTTCTCTTGTCTTATATAACCATCTAATGTAACACCACGTTTTAATAAATTATCTGTTAAATTTGTATTTAATGTTGTAGTATATGTCCATTGTCGTTCACCAGCTTGTGGAAGATTCATTCTGTATTGGATTGGATTTAAATTAAAATGATAACATGAAAAAATTAATATAAAATGTATGTATTTATTCAATTGTCATTCAAAGCTAAAATCAATGAAACTATTCTTCTTTGATAAGAAACTATATATTCATGAGAATAAATAAAACAAATGCAATATATAAAATTGAAAAAAATCATTCACTTTAATTGTAGGCAGAAAGTTTCATTGTTAGACTGAGTATATTTTGGATAAAGAGTTATGAAAATTGTTGAATTTGATTGAGAGCATGAGTTGATCAGTCTTCACAACTCTATAATGAAAGTCGTAAAAATGTGCTCACTAGTGACCAGGTTCGTGAGAAAATTATTGGCTTTCCGTTTAGAGGCCATAACCAATAGAGTTCAACCCTGTCAAGTGTGGACAGTTACCTACTGAAGACAACAGGTGACGTTGCTCAATAGCAGAGATTGATTGGAGCTAGACATTAACATTTTGATTCAGTGGTGTATAGGTTAAGTATTCGCGCGCGAGACCAAAGGTCTTGGGTTCAGCTATCGCTGGTGGAAGTTATGGATGCGCACTGTTGATAAGTCCCACACTCGGACTTGATGGCCATCCAGTGCTTCCAGGTTTCTAATGGTGAACTAACAATAACTGATTCATGATTTGAGTGTTTACATTGATTATATCAAAAATTTATCTTATTGTTTCATATTTATAATTTCATTGACACTGATTGGAGTAAAAAAGAGATTTTCTAATGAATTGATGAATTCACAATTTCTAGGAAACTCTCTAATATAAAACAATTTGAAAGGCTGATATAATGTGTGTTTAAACTGTAACTATTTTGACGGTGTTATAAACTCTCTGCTAAATAGTTTGACTTCACATTGAATTAGATCCTAACCATATTATTCAGAAGAACGATCCAAACTTTACAATCAAACCATTCAGTTTAGAAATCATAGTATTACTAACATTCTCATCCTCTACTAAAAAAATTCTCCATTATTGCAGAATTATTTTCAAATATCAACGTTGGATCACATGACATGTAGTCTATAATAAAGTTCATTTTATTCCTTTTGATATGTTCAAAATCAGGTTAACGAATTTTTACTATGTTCAACCATGAATAAATAATAAATTCTTAAATAATTAGAAAATTTTATTGAAATTATATTCGGATTAAAACAACAAACAATTTCAACATCAAAACCGTTAAAATCTCTTATTCTTATTGTCCTACCACTGACTAATTGATTATCGTTTAGTTATGGTATTTAATTGTACAAGTTAGGAAATTACTTTAGTTAATAGAATATTATTTTATGTAAATATTTCTGCATGCTGATAAAATATATTGATAAATATACTGCCGCCTAGAGTGATTCAATGTACAGATTTATCTGTCTTTTTTTTTTCTTATGAAACAAAAATGCCGAAATCTACATTGTACAGCATTAGGAATTATGTTGAATTATTAATAACTAATCTAAAAATACCCAGAAATATAATCTTGATGATCTTTCAAGTCAGTTGAATAGTAATTTAACAAAACTAATCAACATACTAATCTAAAAGAAAAAAATATTGTTTTCACTGATTAATATTCAAATGAGTTAAAACAAATTATTGAATAATAATGCAATAAAATTAAATTTTATACAACATAATAGATAATAGGTTCAAAGATACCAGTTATAAACATAAGTTATGCTGAAAGATGTAAACATTTGTCGGGCAGAGTTTTGGACGTTTGTGTTTTTACACATTTGAAATCATCAATCAATCATTGTTGGAACACCATTAGAAACCTGGAAGCACTGGACGGCCGTTTCGTCCTGGTATGGGACTCATCAGTGGCAGTGCGCCTCCAGGACTCCTGCACATCGCAGGATTCGAACCAGGGACCTTCTGTATTGTGCGCGAACGCCCAACCATCAGACCACTTGGCCGCCATCCAATGGTGCTAATGTCTAACTCTGATGAGTCCCATACCAGGACGAGACGGCCGTCCAGTGCTTCCAGGTTTCTAATGGTGGTCTAACAATGATTGATTGATGATTTCAAATGTGTAAAAATTTGTATTAAAACTCTCTAATTCATAGGAAGCCTTTACTTCTTATTTACATCACATATATGAGGCGATCAGTATGAATGCAATTTGTAAAACAAAGAAACAACATTCGCAACACTAAACAAAGAAAGATTGATAATAAAAGCTAAAGCAGTGGAACTTTTATTGACATACTTTGTGTGTTAGATAAACACTTAATTTCTTACTGCAAATCCAATCAATTGTCAGATAGTTCTATTTTCTCAAATCTAATCGTTTTTGATTTATTTTATGGATTCAAAACATAAACTAACTACCGCTTTTTATAAACTAGATAGAATGTGACTAGTAGTAAAATTAAGTATGCTTGTTCCGTCGAATTTGCAGCTCTTCAGATGAATGTACTTGCATCTTAGAGCTTTGGATTCAATAGCTGAGTGACTGACGTGATCATGTTTGAAGTAAATGTTACTGGGTTCAAACCTTCTGAGTGAACATCAACTCTGAAGTTCAGGTAGATTCGTCTGAAGAGTCGCAAACAGGACGAAACATGCGTTCTGGATTACGATCCTACACATATTCTATGTGTGCTTTATAGATGATTCGTGTCACACAATGACTTTAGCGAGCCACTTCATATAAGATGGTCATATGACAATCAACAGCGGTAGAATTTCAGTCAAAATATCAACAAAAAAAAGATAATCTAAACCGTTTCATAAATGAACTGAACTATCGCTTTACTTCAATTTATTTTATCATTCCCTTAGTAATTAATAAGAAACAATATTACTTCATCATATTCCAGCTTATTTTATTTAATTTAAAGTAGACGTAAAATTATTTCATTTTTTAAAAAAAGATTCTTTTTCCAAGACTAAAAAAAAGAATTCATTAGGTTAGTTGATTTAGAGTAGATATGATTAAAGTAAGCAAAAACGTTTATTAAATCCTTTTTAGTTTGAATATATATATATATATATATAAATGTGATGATTCGAGGATAACGAACTGGAGTTTGAAATGGTTTTAAGCTTCAGTCTGAGCGTTAACAAAGAGATAAAGGTAAATCTTATTAGCAAATACTATGCAAGATGGGATGAGCTACCTAGATTCCATTAATAACTATTAATACCGTGGATTGATCGAAGTTAGACATGAACAACGTTGGATACCGGCTCAGTGATCCAGAGGTTAGGCGTTCGCACTCAAGACCGAAAATTCTGGGTTCGAATCCTGCGAGGTGCTGGAGTCATGGATGCACACTGTTGATTAGTCCCATAGCAGGACGAAACGGCCGTCCAGTGCTTCCAGGTTTCTAATAATGGTCTAACTTTGATCAATTCATGATTTCAAATCTCTTGTTTTAAATTATAAATGCAAAACTAACAAATTCAAAATTCCATATCCCATCGATCGAATATTTGTTTATATTAGTGAGAATAATAATAAATTTTCTTGATAGTGAATATTTTTCAAATGATCATTAATAGAGATAAACACATTTTTTTTTAACAACCAAATATAATTTGACCAAAAAATATAGTAATTATATTCACTCTCATTGAACTGTTCACTTATTTTTTCTTGTCCTCCGGAAATTCTTTACAATGCCCCCTTTTTTATGGTTAGTCAACCAATGTAAACAAAATTCTATGGATTTCACATAGAAAGTTGAGTGCAAAAAAAATTCTGTAATTAGTTCAATCAGTCATTCAGTAATGCTTTTCCCAAAACAACATTTATTGATACAACTTACAGATAATATAATACTTTCATAGATGAAAATACATGTTTCTATGAATAATGACAAGAAAATAAGAAAATCTATTCGTTCACAATATATATATATACTGATGAGATGATAAGAGGGACTTCCGTATTGTATGTAATAAATAGGAATTTTCACAAAAACATTATTATCAAATGAATATTGAACAGTAGAGTTAGTTATAAAAAAACCCGTCCATCGAACTAAGTGTAGTTTGGTGTTATTCAATAAAAATGAAATAGTTTACAATCAGTACAATAAAATGTACTCAATCTGAAAAATGTACATACAGCTTTTTCAATTGATTTATGAATTGATAATCCATTTATATTAAATGATAAGATCAATTTACTTTTCAACTGAGTAATTCAATATTCAATCTTTTATTAATAAATAGTGTCTTCAACGAATTCAATATTATTTATGAACATTTATGGCAAAGCAACTACTGCATTTCTACACCTGAAGAACATTTGGAATTCAAAACAACTGTCAACAAGCACCAAAATCAGAATTTTCAAAATAGATATCAAGACAGTTCTACTATATGGAGCGGAAACTTGGAGAACAACAAAAGCCATCATCCAAGAGATATAGGTATTCATTATAAGTTGTCCACGCAAAATACTTCGGATTTGTTGGCCAGACACTATCAGCAACAACCTACTGTGGGAGAGAACAAACCAGATTCCAGTGGATGAGGAAATAAGGAAGAAGTGGTGGAAGCGGATAGGTCATACATTTAGGACAGCACTCAACTGCAGTCAGTCAGTCAGATGCAGCGTAGAACTATGTACGTAAGTACATCAGTTCAGGTTGCCATACCACATCAGAACAGAAATATAATGGTCAATTCAAATCCAATAGTAGAAGAGGTAGTAAAGGTATTAGAAGTAATCGGAGAGGTTGCGATTAGAAGATATTCAAAAAATATGATTCAGTGAGAAAAGTCAAAACTAGGGATGTTGAAGAATCCAGAAGGTCAGGATTTGAGAGAACACAAAGAGTGGGTGCACCGGCGCCATTGCAGACGGTTTTGAGCCATGTCATTCAGGGTCTCTAACCATCGATTATTATCCTCTCGCGGACCCCAACCAGGTAGTCGACAACTACCGACATGACTCAGTCCACTCGTCAACGACTTCATGGATTTCTGCCATGTTTTGGTTTGGCCACCCCTAACTTTCTTCCAACCTATTCCTACACTACAAAACAAAGCTCGTCGCACTCACCTGCATCAAAAGACAAGCCCTAACTTGGAACTCTCAAGGTAAAAGGAAAAGAGGAAGGCCAAAGAACACATTACGCCAAGAAACAGACAAAGATATGAGAAGAATGAACAAAAACTGGACAGAACTGGAAAGGGAAGCCCAAGACAGAGTAGGTTGGAGAACACTGGTCGGCAGCCTATGCTCTATTGCGGGTGTAAGTAAGTAAGTAAGTGAGTAAGTAAGAATATCTATGTGAATTGATAGGGAAATCAGTAATATTATTAGTCTATAAATTCGCAAATCATAAAAGCTTGTAACATAAGCTAGCAGCATTTAAGTCAGTTTGAATTAAAATAAAATAAGCGTCTAATATAATTTTGAATTTATGCAATGCTATTTCTACTTCCTAATTACTTCATCAAACTTAAATTGTTTTGAATAATTTAGAAAAGCTTTTTCACAAAAAAGTAAGAATTCACTATTTGTTAATCAGCGCAAGTACATGTAATGATTATCATGTCGCCAATCAGATTATTTATTATACTGAAGTACAGTTTTATCATTAATTATCTAAGAAATGTCTACTTTTCATTCCAGGTAAAGAAAGTAAAATGAACAGCCTAATATTGGCTAGCAGAAATTGACAAGATAAAGACTGTTTTTTCACTTTGAAGTCAAGTTGATCTAATATTTCAAAATACCTTATTTCCTAATTAACAAAAGATTATCATATTGATAATAGTATAAATACATGAAGAGTACTTACTTGCATAAATGTTTATCTACTGTAGATCGATAAGTCCCTTTGGTCAACACATAGATTTCAGCTGTTTGTATAACTGAATGTAGGAAAAAAATATTCATTTAGCAAAAATGAATAAGCTCTGCAATTATCATACTCTAAGTAAATATCATATAACAGTACACTACTGATAATTAATACATAGAAAACTGATCAGAACATACTTATTTCATTAAAGCCATTAGTCTAATAAATATATATCTTGATTGTCAAACAGACTTCATTTTCTAAACTAATACAATTTTGACTTAGTTTGGCTAGATAAGCGTTAAACAAACACGTGGAGAATGGGATAGTTTATTTGTCCTAATATGAAAGTTTTTGGGTAAAATGTTTCCACAATCCGTCAGGAAATCTAGCCTATTATAGTTAGGACTTTCGTCAACGGATTAGCCTAAAAGACTGTTACAAGGGACCTACTGGTTTATATCTTCAATTTCATCCGATTCATTGAGTCAACTGACAGTTTACAACCAATATTTATGATCGATATGTCATATCAAAGATGTTCCAATGTATGATCACAGTCTCTCAATAATCAGCATCTGATTACTGATAAGAGTATAGACAGTTTGTGGATACTGATCGATTTACAATATTTACATCGATGGCTAAATTTAGCTTGATAATCGTTGAAAACTAGGTAACACTGGACATCATTTTGCTACAGTGTTAGGATTTTATTCTATCTATACCTTCTAGGAGTCCCGTACTAAAACGAAGATTTATCTTATACATCCAACGACGTATTATCGCTAACATTAGCAAATCACATCTATCTCACCAAATTAATAAATCTATAGTACGTAAAGCTTTCACTTCCCGATGATCAATATTAACTTATAAAAATCTAAATCACTCTATTTTTTCTGATTTAAACAAACAAACCATGAAGAATTGAGGTAAAACTTTAACTAATTTATAGATATTGAAAACCACTTTTTTCTATTTTTTTATTTATCTAATGTCAACATGACCAACATGTTAGAAAGTTTTTCATGGCAGAATCTAAGGTCATAAAACAGCTTATACTATCAGTCTCTATCAACGTTTAAATCAATTTCCTTTAAAAAACATATATTCTGTGGTGTAGTTCAACTCAGCTAGCGCAAAATACCTAGATCAATCAGAGTTAGACATTCACACCGTTGGATGCCTGCCCAGTGGTCCAGAGGTTAGGCATTCGCGCACAGGACCGAAGGTCCCGGGTTCAAATCCTGCGAGGTGCTAGGGTCGTGGATGAGCACTACTGATGAGTACCATACCGGGACGAAACGGCCGTCTAGTGCTTCCAGATTTCTAATGGTGCTCTAACAATGATTGATTGATGATTTCAAATGTGTATAAACAAATTTCATCAGATTCAATTAATAGTAATACATTAAACAATTGAGGAAATTCTTATTCATTGATTAACACTATTTGTTAAAGTGTTATACGTCTTGTAAAGTCATCAATTATTAAAGACCTTGAACGACATGGCTCAGAATCGTTCGCAATGGCGCAAGTGCATCCACTCTTTGTGTTCTCCCTAATTCTAACCTTCTGAATTCCTCATAATCTATATCTTTCTCTTTATAACTTTATCTCACTGAATTATACTTTTCGAATCATATCTTAGCTCTCTAATCTTCTTCATTGCTTCTAGTAATTCTACTATCGCAATTACTGTTGGATTTGAACTGACAGTTGCGTCTTTGTGCTGAAGTGGTATGGCAACCTGAACTGATGTATTTATGTACGAAGTTCTACGTTGTATCTGTCTGTCTGTCTATACATCTTGTATTAAAATAAATTAGCTTTCTGAGAAATGCATTTTCTAACGTAGGAATAGAATACTGGTTATATTTTATACATGACTTTGGATTGTTCGTTTAAAATTTGTTTTAGTTGTCACAACCAACATAGCATAATAGATCAATATGAAATTTTAGAATTCACTACAGTGATTGTATACCATTTTTTTATTGACTATTCAAGTAACTTGAAGAACTTGATCTATAAATGAAATTCTGAATAATTTTCTTGATATTTCCTATGAATCTTTAGAAATAATAAGAGATGACCTATAGATTTTCATTTCCGAGATATATATTTGAAATAAAGCTTTAAGTATAAATTACTGTTATCAAGATATATAACAAAGAGGTAACATGTCCATACATTTCCTAGTATGACTTGATGATGTATGCTGTTGACATTTAATATTATCTGATATAAAACGTTAAAGCCATGGACCTATATTTTGTTTTAAAGTTTATAGTCATCAATTTTTTCTTAAAATCAAAGTTATGTTTAAAGTTGTGTTCAGATGAAAATGTGTGAAACAGAAATATTACATTGAACATATTACTTAACACATGTATATGATGAAATTATTGACTCGAAATTTATGCGTTCACTTTTGAGATGGGCGGCCTAACCGCTTCACTTGTTCATGTGCTTATCGATTTTTTTTCAGTTCAGTTTTCTGTTTGTTTGATGATTATTATTATGAATATTATAATTAATTAAGTTGATGGCCGGAAAAATGCTTCAACAGCTCATCGCATCAACGACTCAAGTCTTTACAACTTGTAAGTTGTGAGCAACTTTTTGAATAGGACTGCATTATCGTTATTCGAAACATGAATATTTCAATATTTTTCTTAAGGAAAATTTCTCTTCGATTTCTGTCAGTTTTCTTTATTTTGTTAAGTCTTTTAATAATGTGTACAAATTCTATTTCTATATACAAATTCACCTTGTACCATTCATAATAGAAGTTCATTTTTACACATGACTTATGAGATGATGGAGAAAATTTGTAGCTCAGGTGGATGATTCTTGTGACTGAAGTTTCATTGTCTAATCTGGATGATTTTTTGGTTTTGGAGCTTTTGTTGTTCTACTACTGAACAACATCATTAGCACAAACTTCAATAAAATCAAAATGATTTATCTATATATTTCTAATTAAAATCCCTAGATCAATCAGAGTTAGACATTAACACCGTTGGATGCCGGCCCACTGGTCCGATGGTTAGGGCGTTCACGCACAATACAGAAGGTCCCAGGTTCGAATATTGCGAGGTCCTGGAGTCGTGGGTGCACACTGCTGATGAATCCCATACCAGGACGAAACGGCTGTCCAGTGCTTCCAGGCTTCTAATGTTGGTCTAACAATGATTGATTGATGATTTCAAATGTGTAAAAACACAAAACCTCCAAAACTCTGCCCGAAAATAAAATTACTTTCTTTTTATTGGAAAAAAGATTGTACATTGATCACATAAATAAATTCAATCATAACAACATACATAAAATCAATTGAAATAACATGTTGTAGATAATAATTATTGCTTTTAAAAAGTAAAACAACCAGGCTGATTGTATAGAATATTTTACATTTTGTGCATAAAAAGTAGAACAAAAATTATGCACAGTGAACTTACTTGCTACTTGTAATTTTCTAACCGGTAATTGACATAAATTATCCAATACTATTGATATACACACAGATTCATCGTGGTAATATAACTGAAAAGGAAAAAAAAAACACCACATATAAATTTATGAGTTATCATTATTATTATAATTATGCTTATTTCGAATATGCGTCACAGGACAAGCCGTCACATGGAACCCTCAAGGTCAAAAGAAAAGAGGAAGGCCAAGGAACACATTACGCCGAGAAATAGAAAAAGACATGAGAAGAATGAACAAAAACTGGAAAGAACTAGAAATGGAAGCCTAGGACAGAGTTGGTTGAAGAAAACTGGTGGGCAGCCTATGCTCGATTGTGAGCAATAGGCGTAATTAAGTAAAAAAAGTTATTTTGAACAGTTGTTTTCAGTGTTTTCACTATATATATATATATATATATATATATGTATATATATATATTGTACATTGAAACTCGATTTACAAGTGTACTTTTACTTTCCCCCCATAACTGAATCAATAGAGTAGTGGTTTTATTTATCTTCCAACCGAAATCTCATCCCAATAAAATAGGTCACATTCATTTTAGTAAATGAATAGAAAAAGTGGACTATATTCACTCACTCACATTATCAACGGTGTATCAAATAACTAATTTTTTGTTTTTTTGACTGTGGAATATGTGTAACAATAATTGAAATTAAAAATTGATTATTGTAATGTTTATTGTTGAGCATAAGGTATAATTTTTTTTAAATATTATTAAAACATATAAATTGTGAAATAATTTCATTTTTATTTTACACTTGAATGATTTGATGATGTAGGCAAGAAAATTGAATTGTTATTAAGGAACCATCTCAACAAACTTATAAATGAATAATTTACTGAAGATCTTAGTTATTTTTATTTGACGAAATTATCATCAGGGTCTAGAGAATATGATTTTAAAAGATTGAATAAATTTACATAATGTAAGCATAACTCACAAGTAGACTTCAGAAACCTAATACCCTTTTTTAAATTGAAACCAACAAGTTGTTCACTTCAATGAAACCAATGAAAAATTTAATCAGTGAACATGATCTATCAAACACCTTTAAAACCTAACTAGGAATCTGCTAATGATCATTTTCTGCTCCGGTTAGTTTTTATGTTACTCCTTCTATGTAATGGGCAAGTTACTGTACAAACAAAAGTAATCCCCCCAAGTCACGGGTTTTACTTGCGTATCGGGAAATTCATCTCATGGCTAGTGAGTGATGAACACATAAGTTATGATTTAAACAGATGGTTTGACGAGTTATTATACACGGAATCAGAATTATTTTCATGAAGAAATAACTTTAATAAGAATACTTGACTGTTTTATAAATTAAGTGAAGCTGAGAAAAGTAAAATATCGCATACTGACATCGTTGTTAAAATTTTATAAATTCTACAACTAAACTACTTCGATGTCTAATTTGAAATTTATTCAACAAATGAAGTACCTAGATGCATTGTTTCTAGATATTAAAATTTCTTGAAAAATATTCATCATTTCAATAAAGACCATTGAAACCAAATCAAAGGTATCATAAATGGAATCATACTGTAATACTATTTCATGCTATGTGTAATTGTAATTATCTGTCTAAACAGATGAAATTTGTATTAGCAATTAGAATATGCACCATTTCTTTTGTCTCCCCAGAATCAGTGAACAATTATTCATAGTACAAATAAAAATAAATTTGTTAGCATTATTCTAATTGCACTATGTGGACGAGTTTACATCTTTAATTGAAATCAGAGAGCCATTGAGAGTTGAGTAAAAAAATCCCATCAACACATCTATGTGTAATATGAAGTTGACATTCCGAAAAAAAATCTCTGTGTACATGTTCAGTAACTGTGTTCAGAATGTGTCGCTTTATATTTCTCATGTTTTAATCAAATAAAAATCTCTTAGTTAAAAACTGACCAATTATCAGTCAACTGTTGACTGATGATGTTTACATGGAAAACATGTGGAAATTATGCTTTGAAAATAGTTCATGCAATCTGTTACTTATCAAAAGATCTACAGTTTATTGTATTATCTAAGTGTAACTGGAAAAGAAGGTCCAGGAGGGAGTAGATTAGAGAATGCTGGTGGGCGGCCTCCCATGCTTCGCTGCGTGGGGGTAACAGGGGTAAGTAATATCATATCAGTAAAGTTATGTAAAGACTAGATATATTCTTGGTTCACCAACAAGCCTGCTGCACATGCACGCCGCTGCTTTTTAGGCAACACAAGGATTCTCACAAATGTCGATTTTGCGATCACCCCTGCCCCGAACGGGGACGTACATGTTGTCTAGATTGGTCTGCAGACAAGTGGACGTCCAAAAAGCACGCGCCCGAGCAGTGGCCCCCATTCGGGCACTTATAAATCAGCAAGCTCCCTCCACCAATCCATTACCTGAAATCCCTAGTCGGCATGGGCTCCAAGGTGGGCCTACCCAGCTGGACCTGGCACCCCAAACGGGTTACCAAGCCACCCAGCAGTGCACTAACCAGCAGCCGTTCCAATCGTCTGACCTTCAACTGCCTTGCGCTGATACAATCGACCGGAGCTCTCAGACCCCACATGAAGCTAAAGATCGAGGCTGTCCCACAAGGTCAGCCGGAACGTACACCCTCCCATAGGGAAGAGCGCGAGCACTCGGTCAAGCAGGGTTAATCCCACTACATAGTTGGGCAAACATCAGTGGCGTCCAGTACCCTTTCAGAACTCGATCGCATAACCTTGTGGCGGCCAATTTCTACGTGTTCTTAGTCTTCGTAATTAGCTCGTCCAGACAATCGTTACTAAATAGCGTCTGACAGTTTATAAATCAGATGGTAAACTCGAACTGTTGAATACGTTTATTTTAGCACACCACAAACAGGGATATCTGACCACAAGCAGACCGGGCAGGCACACTAGCAAGTGAATAGGCGAATGTGCGAGTGTGAGAGTGAATTAATAAGATTAAAATGTTCGTATATATACAAAGGGAAATGTCTGAGTCATCGTGATATTTAAGAGATCAATATGGAAGCGAATGGGATGCATATGTCCGTCGGCAGTAAGCAACGCTCAGTCATACTAGCTCATACAAACCACACAATAATAAAAGCCAATGGTACATATAAGTTATTGTTATACAAATGGCTTGGTTAAATAAATTAATCGAAAGGGATTAACCAAATTAAATGCAAGAGAACTCGAATACACGTGGAGGCACCACAAACTAACTGGGGACATTTTTTAAGGGGCCTTGACGCTAGTTTACACAATACACCCAGATGCAGAGTGTTTGGGACAACCACATAGGGTCCGCGTCAATAGTCCAGGATCGTTACGGCTGCTTCCCCGAACAAATCGTCTAGGGTCACCCTCAAGTATCCTGGAAATCTATGTCCCAATATTTCAAATTTACCTACGCTCAGTGGACGGGATTCAGACTTAGAGGCGTTCAGTCCTAATCCCCCAGAGTGGCTAACCGCATCCACAGCCCTGCCACCATGAACACATGTTATCATTCTTGACCATGCTAAGCCCGGTATACTAAGCATTCAGAACGGCTTTAAGCCGCAGTGCTGTAAAACAACTCCACGTTGCCTGGCAGGACCACGGAGAGGTAGCCACTACCACAACCCCCAGAAGGCTCCATTTACGCACGTCACCTAATATACCAATTTAATTAGATGATGAGACATTTGGCTACCTTAAAAGAGTCATAGTTCAAGATTAGAAAATAAAGGAACAAAATCGAAACTGATAAACAAATGAAATATTCATGCTAAAAAGAAAACTTCTTAACATTAACCAGTGAAATGAAATACTATTGATTTTATTTTATTACTCAATAGTTGGGCTATAAAAATTCATCTGTTTTTAGAATGAATATTCAAGTAGATTTTGTAAAACAAAAAAATAAAATAAAATTTTTAGATGAAAACTTCTAACAGATTATTTGAAGTGGAGAATATTTTGTTTACTGTGTGTAAACAAAATATTATCTAGTTTTCGAAATTCATTGTTCCCTATTTTCAATTGTAGTCAATCTATTTGATAGTTAAGCAATATCACTGATCAATTACTGATTTACTATTAGGTCAACTGACTGTACAGAATAAAGTTTTCTGCTGAAATTTCCAGTTTGATAGGATTTGATGACTTAAATGTGAATCCAGTTTTAAAACTAACGATAATATCTCGTCTGACCTTCAACTGCCTTGCGCTGATACAATCGACTGGAGCTCTCAGACCCCACATGAAGCTAAAGATCGAGTTTGTCCCACAAGGTCAGCCGGAACGTACACCCTCCCATAGGGAAGAGCGCGAGCATTCGGTCAAGCAGGGTTAATAATATCTTGTTATATAACACACATCTACCATTTAATTTCCTTATATATCCATTAAAAGTTCAATACAGTGAAGTTGGATGCATTTCATTTCATATGCTCATATATGCAGACAAACTTAAAGTAGAAGAAGAAGAAGTGTAAAATTTGGGTTAAAAGAAAAAAAAGAAATCGCACAAAAAAAGAGGTGTAGGATACAACTGTGTTTGATGAAGCATAACACTAACTAATTATAATCAGACAAGAAAGAAAAAAAAAGTAAAAACGATAAGAAGAAGACCACGCTCAAATAGAAAATCATCTAGGGATATATATTGATATCGATATATATATATAAGCGAACAATTATTATGGTCAAAATATGGGTGAGTAATGAATGAACTTAAGAAAGAATAAATTAAGTTTAGTTTGTCCAAATTTTAGAACAAGTTATGTAAACCTGACATAACAAATATACAATTCTGGGTATATATATATTTTTTTAAAAAAATCAGTTCAGATAGCTCATTGTATCTAGAAAAAAAAAAGAAATGTTTAAGATTTTATAAAATTCATTGTATGAACTAGTCTACTTCATTAAACATCTGCATTTCTGAAAAAGTTAGTAAAAACTAATAATTTTCTTGTCAAGTGCATTATTGACTTTTTAGGAAGAAGAAATTATATTCACAGCCTAAGCTGATTAGTTTGGTTGAAAATGAAAAGCTAAATAAATGAAAATAAGAAAATATTTTTTTTAGTTGAATTAAAAATTTTCCTCAACAGTATATTAACCATATAACGTTGATTATGCATTGCACAAATTGTTGGGGATGTTAGATCCCTAGAACTCGCTTAATAAATGCCTTAATTTTGGATTTTGTTCATGGGCTGGTCAGCTGACCTTGAGATCACATTTACCACCAGGAAAAGCCTTGACTGTGATTGGTTACTGTGTTATTTTAGTGTGCCATTTTGTGACTCTCCCATGGACGTCTCTATGGTGTATAAATAAAAGCAATTTGTGTCCTTGAGTCAATTGTGCTTGTTGGGTTTTTCTGGGATACACTTTCTACGCTATATCAAGACTTCTCGTTAGTTCCTTCGGGTCAAAGGATCAGAGTAGCCTACCTGGACGCTGGTTCATTGTCTCGTTAACGTTTATCGACAATAGTTTCAAGTATACCTAGTGACGAGCATAACACAAATGTAGTCAGTTTTGTTATAATATATATCTAAACAGAGTGGTGACAAAATAAAATATTCAAAACTGCTATGAAATGGAAAAACAATAAAGGTTGTAAACTTGAAGTGAATAAATATATTTTTTGGATTTATCATTTCCCTATTCTCTGTTTTCATAGCTTAATTTCAATTTTTTTAATTAGAATTTCTTTTTGTATGTACATTTTATCCATTGAAATTCAATGAAAACTTTACAACCGTCATTATTATTATTATTATTATAAAACGTCTTTAAAAGTTACTTTTAATTATTCATAATTAGAACAACACAGATAAAAAGCGAACAATATTACTCTTTTCGATTAGATTGTCATAAGGCCTTAAACTCTAATGTACATGTGTATCATCTCACCAATCACTCATTGTAATTTAATAATTTGTTGTTTAAATTATTTAATAATTGTATCGATCATCTTTTTTATTTGTAATAATTCGATAACAGTATCGATTATTGTATATTTGATTGTATGTAGGCATGCTTCGTCTCTTATTACATGTCAAGGAAGATTAATTCATTGCACACTCGACCATTCGTCCACAATGAAGTCCAGTAGTGAGCCGCTAAACATGAATGATTTATATGAAAATGTTAAACCAATAATCAAGGCAATCTGAGTCAATACATTCAACCCCAATTTATGTGTTCAGAAGAATTTCATGACATCCCCCTATCTTCACATCCTGTATGTGTTGGTAATTTTCTCCCCTCTTTCCGTTTATATTCTTCACTATCTAATTATGTACACACTTCTTATTACGTAATGGTTTTCGATGTTTCGTAGTGATTATTTTAAGTCTATTTATCCACGTTTGACCTACTATTGTTATCGTACTTTATTTTTCTTACTACTACCAGTACACATGTTTTCCTACTATCAACTTGTACTTATGCCTATTATGTGTAGTGACAGTAATCTATTTCAATTCATCGTGATGATTACTGACTCATGAATTGCCTTCATTATCGGTTTAACATTTTCATATGAAAATATTCATGTACATCATAGAGTAAAGCCTGATGACGATCTAATAGAAAACGGTAATACTGTTCGTTTCTTATCTTTGTTGTTCTAATTTTCACAATGGAAATCTTTAATATTATTCATAATAAGGTTAGGCGTTCGAGCACAGGACCGAAGGTCTCGAGTTCGAATCCTGCCGGGTGCAAGAGTCGTGGATGCGCACTGCTGATGAGTCTAATAACAGAACGAAACACCCGTCCAATGCTTCCAGGTTTTTAATGGTGCTCTAACACTGATCCATTCATGGTTTCAAAATATGTAACTTAACAGTCACCACAACCCTGTAATGTTTTTCATGATTGCCTAACATGAATTGATTATTTTTCAAAGGAATTTGAAATTTCCAATGTAAATGAATAAATTGTATTTGGTTATCACGTGTTAGTTGGGCACCAAAATTTTTTTTCTATATTTTATTAATAATCTATCTAATTTTTTTTTATCATACATTTACAAAACTTACAACCAATTGTGTTCTTTGTTTTTTGCCAAAAAAATAGAAATATAAAAACCTATGTATGAATTGATTTCGGTGAATTTTCTAATTTCGTTTCATTTATTTTTGCTGGTAAAAAACTAACATTTAATCAATAATAGGAGATTGTTATTTTGTTACTGAAATCAAGAATCAATCTTCATAATCCAAAACCAGAAGTCCTGGGCTCGAATCCTGAAAGTCCCTAAAGTCAGGGTGGTGCATTATTGATGAATCGCATGGCAGGACGAAACAGTCGTTCAATACTTTCAGCTTTCTAGTGCTAGTCTAACAACGATTATTGATTCATGATTTCAGTAAGAGGAATTTTTTTATGACTTAAACAAAATATGAATAAACTGTTTGAGAAGTAATTTTTTCCTAATGAGATTGCATCACTTCATATTATTTCAATTCTTACCCCTATTGTAACAATAAATAATTATGAATATAAGTGGAGATAATGATGTTTATCGAAATTTTGAAAATATTCTACAAAAGTAACGAATACTAATGAAGGTAAAATAAATAAAAAAATTAACGATTCACAGTAGAGAGATAGAAATTATATTGATTCAGTTTGTTGTCATCGATTTGATCCATTATTTGTTTAAGTCTTGTGTTTTAATGAATTAATTGATAACCATCAAAATGTGAGCGCGATTTTCAAATATCCTAACAGATCAACCAGTGACGTCGTGAGTTGGTGAAAAAAATAACAAAGTCTTGCTTTTCTTTTTTTATATTCGTCTAATTTTTTTCTTAAACGTTTTTTACTCAAATAAATTTCTAAATCAATGGTAAGAATAAACTATTTCCGTTGAGCGAAAATAAAATTATTGGAAATTGAATTGCAATAAGATATTATGGTCAGGCAATTAGTTAGGTGAAATTACAAGAGCAAAAATGAAATTTTTATTTAACTCCTGTTAGCTGGAAATTAATATTTAAAAAAACAATTGAATTAAGCTGAATGAACAGATTACAACTAGGCGATTTGATTAGTATTATGCATGTTGAAGTGTTTGGTATGCTCAACTTCCGGTTAGTGTGAAAATATCATTTTAACCAATGAACAATGATGATAAACTGGTGATAATTGTCTGATAAAATCTATTAAAAATGAACAAAGTTGCGAATGTATGTGTTGATAATAAGCTTGGATACCCTATAACACTTGAATTTTTAAATAATCATACACCTATGCACTATTAAATACAGTCAATTTATTCTGTTCACGAATAAATATGATTTACTAGTGAGAATCAAATGTTATTGTATGAAATAAACATTGTGTTACTTCGACTCACCGGTTTCTCAATAGAAGCTTTCATAAATAATTCTCCATAATGACATGGTAGATTTATTGCTTTTCTAATTGATTCTACAACAGGTTGTAAAGGACGATGTGTGATTTTTGGTCCAGCAGTTAATTTTCTTAAAATAATGGTTACTGTTGAACTGTGAATAAGAAAAATAAAACACTAAATAAGATGACTATATACATATATGTATATTCAATGAATTACTCGGTTGAAGAAATAATGTACATCATAAGTCCAGCTTTGTTTGACACATCTAAAATGTTACTCCTGTAAATGAGTTTTGCAATGATAAACACAAAAAAAGTATAAAACTCTGAGCGATGAAGTTCCCAAGAATTATTCTACCAATGCAATATAATTGTGTCCTAAGATAACCATAAAATTTCATCGACTCAGATGTCGATTTGAGGTATGCTGCCATAATAAAGATACACACCTTTGATTTAACCCAATAATACATCGATTTTCAATTCAATTAAGCTGTAAAAACAACCACCTTGTTGTTTATCCTCAACAGTCACTAACAATACACATATGTATCGTAGTGTTAATCAAAGCTTCAAAACCTACAAACATATTGCCAATTGACAAACAGTATTATATAAGCGAAGTGTCATTTTTTTTTGATAATAATTGGATTTATTTCATAAATTATTCAGTAGATATTGATTTAGGTTATGGGTGATTATTATGTTCAGAAAGCTATTTTAAAAATTATTGAATCAATCGTTTTCAGATTATTACAAGTGATATTTGGAAGAGCATATTGTTCATTATGTGCTTTTTACATCTTGATAACAATTCATGAATAATACTTTTCTTAAAATTGAAATAAGCTACAGAATGAAGTTTTTCTTATTTTCTTGATATAAAGATACTGTATACATAAACCCTGAACGAGTTCTTCTAATAACTATTATTAGTTTATAACAGTCGTTTACACAACAAACAAGTATCTTCTAGTGCTTATAATGCTTATAACGAGTGCGAATACAACTCATTCATTAAAACTTTGCAATGTATATATATCACATCACTGGTTAAAGAAAAAAAACTCGTCCGGGCATGGGACTCATCGGCAGTGCGCATACACAAATCCTGCTAGCGGCAGGATTTGAACACAAGACCTTCGGTCTTGCGCGCGAACGCCTAACCTCTGAACCATTGGCCAGGTATCCAACGATATTATTGCCTAACTCTAGTCAGTGTAAGGATTTTGCATGACCTCGCCTAATGTGCACACTAGTGACTACCTTCGTGAGGAAGTTCTCAGAGATCTAGTGATAGGACGTGACCAGTAGAGTTCAACCCTATTGAGTGTAGGCATGAATTACTGAGGACTAAATGGGTGAGGTCGCGCAAAGTCCTTAGATTGATCAGAATTAGACATTAATAGCGTTAGGTTTCGGTCCAGTGGTCCGGAGGTTAGACTTTCACGTGCAAGACCGACCGTCATGGGTTCAAATCCTGCAATTTGCAAGAGTCATGAATATGCACCGCTCATGAATTTGTACGCAACAAAACCACAGTTCCACTATATAGCTTCAAATTTTTCTTTTCTCAAAAAATGACTTGCGTGATTTCACGAAACGTTGCAGTAACAAATTTCTACGAAAAGTTTATGATTTTTTCTAATGATTATAATTAGTTTAAATTTTTGTTTAATTAGGAGTCACGTTTTCTGTACATTCCAAATTTAAGAGTAATAAACCAAGAAACAGTTATTTTTTTTATAAATTCACTTATTACATACAGATAAACTTACAACCGAATATACTTTCATTATCTATAATTTTACTTATTATTATTCATCATAATTATATTCGTCTGTCACTTTTGAAGAAAAAAAAGAAGCCTAGGGAATATTGTGGTGAATTTGAATGACATAAAGGTTACTACTAGAATTATTTCTAAATGTCAACAGACTTAAACTACGACTTATGTTTTTTTTTATGAACAGAAAATTACAATTTTTTCTCAGTCAGACAGTAACTACCGAAGACAAATGGGTTAGGTCGCAAAAAAAGATCCTTAGATTTATCAGAGTTAGAGAATAACACCGTTGGATGCTGGCTCATTGATCCAGAGGTTAAACGTCCGCGTGCGTGAAACCGAAGGTCCTAGGTTCGAATCATGCAAGTAGCAGGTGTCGTAAATGAGCACTGTTGATGAGTCACTTATCAGGACAAAACGGCCATCCAGTGCTTGCAGGTTTCTAACAGCAGTCTAGAAATGATCGACTGATGAGTTCAATGTGTAGAAAATTACCGATAAATTTCCCTGTAGTGGAAACTTTAATCAAATCTTATATATATCAAGCAAAATTAGTCTCGTAAGTGTTATCCTCGTTTCTAGGTATGCTTAAAACTATTACCGGTTCACCTTAGTTGATAAACGAGAACCAGACTATGAACCAGCTTCCTTGTAGGCTACTCTGATCTGTTGTCCCAAAGGAACTAACGAGAAGTCTTGATATAGCGTAGAAAGTGTATTCTACAAACACCCAGCCAGAAAACAAGGCATCCAAGCACTCGAATTGCGTTTATTTATACTCCATAGAGATGTCCTTGGGAGAGTCACAAGAATAACACAGTAACCAATCACAGTCAAGGCTCTTCCTGGTAGGAGATGTGATCTCAAGGTCAACTGATCAGCCAGTGAATAAAATCCAAAATTAACACATTCATCAAGCGAATTCTGGGGATCTAACATTCACAACCGTAAATTGTAACGAAAACATTTTCACGAATCAAACATAACAAACCTACCTTGTTGGTTGATAGTCATCAATTCGTTTACCAATAAATGCAGTCAATTCATAATTGATACCATAAGGCTAATAATAATGAATAAAATAAAATGAAAAATGAAAAAGAACACTTGTATTCACACATTTCAAAATTCGTTCACAAAAAATTATTGCATTTTTCAATTGTAGGCTGATATAACAATAATCCGCAAATAAATGAATTTTACAGTACTCTCCTTTGTTTTTTTTTTAGTTAAATGAAGAGTGTTGAATGAAACAAAGCAGATTCTATAGTTTTCTTTTCAATCAGTGATGGAATTAGAGAAAAGCAATTGAGAACGAAAGTTATCAGTTGGCTTCAATGAAACATGATGTGTAATGCTTGGTTTTAAAGTTGAACTGCATTGTCTGATACATTGACCGTTTCTGATTTCGTTCCTATGATTAAGGTTTATAATTCATTGTGCAAAACTTCAGCTTACCGCTGTTTTGAAAACTTCTAAATCTGCTTGAATTTTAATTTAAGTTCATTGAGAATCACAAACTAAGGCAAATTCAATTCATCTATGTTCAATGGCTAAAAACATCACCGTTCTGTTTGAAACTAAGGCTTTTACAATCAACTGCTAATGTTGTACAACCATAGTTATTATATTTAAAAAAATGATTATCAACAGTGGAATACTTTCTAATTCATTAACAAAAGTTAGAAATAAATTTCTCACGAGTCAGAGATCGAAAATTCCAGTCAATAATGGTCATCACAATTCAAATCTTATTGAAAATTTACTGACGAATACAGAAGCTTAAAAACATGTTCTCTCGTTAAACGAGTAATAAAATAAGTTTATGTATGACCTTGAAAACCAATACAATTGTACTTTTAGTGACGAATCAGTGAAAGAAATTGATTTTAACCGATTAACCATGATCCATGCTAAAAAACTGCTTTTTACACGAAGTTATATTCGATACGTAATTTAAAAAATATTAATATCTAATTATAAAAATGTGAATTCCCTAACTCTGCACAAAGTTGATAATTAAAAAAAATTACTTTATTACAAACTTTTTTATTTATAAAATTATTTTCGAAAAAACTAAAACTTATTTATGAATATGAATATGAAGAAAACAATGTGTGTAAGTAAACTTGAAAATAAAAACAACAGCCTTTTTTAGCATTTTAATCACGTTTCGAAATTTTCAATTACAGGGGAAATAGATTTAACGCCAGTTATTAATATTTACACTTTTTTTTTGGTCTGTGTTGTCTAGAGTAAACAAAGTCAGCCTATAAAAATCTCATCCATTCAAAAACCATGATACAGTTTATTTTCATTTAACTATTGAATAACTTATTCTATGGTAACAGTTAAATTAATTAAAATGAATAAAGAAAAAAGCTCTATACAACGCCATAGATTGACTTTTTCAGATATTTAACAATAAATATTATAGAATAGTACATTTAGTGTAAAATTGCTAAGATGTTGTCTTAGGAAACAATATGAGATGATGTTATCAAGCAAACAGTTTGATTTTATAAGATATTTAAGCATGGAAAATGAAAATGTTTAGAAAATAAAATCTAAACTTGTTAGATAAATTTTCTTACGCTAAAGTATAATTTCTTTTTATTTCGATAAAGTAAACAATTGAAATGATTAATCTACTCTAAGTGTTTTTTTTTAAAGTCTTGATCATTCACAGAGTAAACACACTCTTTTTTTAAATGTGTAGAAAGAGACAGGATATTTTTTCTTAGATAACGGAAAGAAAGTCTAAAATTAAAATTCATAATGGCTGAGAGAAATCAATAAATTTTAAAGATGCAAAAAAACAGAATCAATGTCGTTTGGAATCATGAATTAATGAGATTTAGTTAATATGTTGTAATCTTGAAAAATAGTTGAATATTTCTAAGCAGAAAAAAACAATACTATGTAGTTTGTTTTCATAAAATCCATATAGCAAAAACGTTGTAAGATTATTATTGTACATGGATAACAGTGGAATATATGACGTGCATTTCGCTCGTTATATTTAAATACTGATGTTAAGAATAGCGACTGATCAACACCTGATGGATTTTATAAATCCTTCAGTATCATTGTAAAAATAGCAGGTGATTTGTTACAATCATGAATCGATCAATAGGAAACCACCATTAGAAACGTGGCAGCACTGGACGACTGATTCGTCCTACTATGGGACTTATTAGCAATGTGCATCCATGATTTCTACTTTTCGCAGGAATTGAACCAAGGACCTACAGTCGTGCGCAAACGCCTAAACTACAGATTGCATTTATTTTGCTCAATCTAACAACACATACTTGTCAAGACATGTTTCAAAAGAAATCAAGATCAGTTAAATAGCAAATCGAATGAGGCAAAGAAAAAATATCATTTAACATAGATAAGGATTATTTGTTCAAAATGTTTCAATAAACTCTGTTCATTCGTTTTTAAATGACTAAAGTTTCACCATTCGATTATTTATTCTATACATAATAAATCTCTTCAGATCAGTTTTACATTTTCAGCTTACTGATATTTTATTAGTAGACATAAAGTTATGCGATCATAAATTATATTGGAAGACGGTGGTTATGTTGTTTACAAAAAGTTGGATTGTATCCGAAACACATTTTATGACAAGATTCAAATCGAGTTAATAACTTCACTGTGTGATGATTGGGGAAAATCTGAAAATATCTCGAAATACATCCAAGAGGACATGATTTTTCATAACATTGTGACTGATACAAAGCTATAATTAGAAATTAATTTTAAGTGTGACCTAAAATATTGTTACATGATATGTGAAATATTTAAATTCTAGCTGATGACAATTGAAAGTTTTCATCAAGTCATATGGAACATAGAACCTGGCACATATATGTATCAGTCTAGATTGTCAGGCTGCAACAACACATTGACATCACATTATAGAGACAAATCCCAGAATAGGAAGAAGTAGTAACAGTATCAGTATTGATAGTAAGAAACTTAACTATTTGAATGATTCAGTCAGTCATTCAGTCAGTCAGTTACAATGTAGAACTTCGTACGTACATACATCAGTTCAAGTTGCCATACCACATCAGCACAGAGACACTATTTTCAATTCAAATCCCATCGTAGCAGAGGTAGTAGAAGTATGAGCAATAATCTAAGAGATTAGGGTTATAAGATATTATTCAAGAAGTGTAATCTAGTTAAATAGACTTAAAAAGAGAAAGATAAATATGACGAATAGCCCAGAGGACTAGGATTTGAGAGAAGCCAAAGAATGGTTTTACCTGCGCCATTGCAAACGGTTTTGAAGCATATCATTCAAGGTATCTCACCATCAATTTCTATCATCTCGAAGACACCAACCAGGTAGTCTGCACTTACTAACATGACTCGATCCATTTGTCAGTAACTTCATGGATTCGTGGCATGTTTCGGTTTGGCCGTTAAGACCGAAATGGAATTAGAGATTTATATGAAGGAGACGCAACTAATGTACTCCAAATATTCAGACTTCCATTTGCAAAACAAGAAAATTATTGACTGTCTTTTTTCACATATCTCCTAGTCTCCAAGACACTTTGATGGCCCCATGAATCCGGATCTGAAAATCTTCTCTTCAATGGTACCTTCTGTGTAACTTTTCACCACATACTACTAATAAACCAAGTTATGAGTAGTATGCACCACAATATAACAAAATAGGCTAAAGAGAATTTTATTAAATGATATTCCGATTTATTGTAATATTTAAAGAACTTATCTGATGATCATTCCAATTTCAACTGTATTATGAAATAGATGAATTAAAGGCTGCCAACAATGAAATTAAGGATGTGATGTGAACATTAACTTCAGGAGACAAGCATGAGTCTTAAGCAAAGTGTAATACATAGCCTCAATCACACACTGATAGACACAAATTCCATTTATTCTATAGAAACTTGCGGAAAATAGCCGTATTGAAGTAATAAACACAGATTTACATATATCGATTAAGATTGATTAAAAAGTTTGTAAAGATCATCGTTTTTGATAACAACTTTTTTGAAAAGTCTAGTTATTTTTTTTTTAAACAGAAAAAAGCATGATGAATATTAACAGGAACAATAGAAAGACGGGTACTCATAAGATAAACTCAAATGACAACTGGTTATTGCAGTTACCACTACAACTACTGCTAATACTACTACTACTACTTCTGCCAGTAATACTACTACTACTACTACTACTACTACTACCACTTATATTTCCACTACTAGGACTGTGATAAATACTAATAAAAATTGCGTTGTTTTCATGTGTACTTTATTGAGATGAATTTATTTTTCTTTCCAATACTCAAGATAATTCAAACTTATTTAATATTTATACTTTCTTCCAACTTTTTTTATATTAGACGCAGATATGTAAAAAAAAGTTTAGAAAATATTTTCAGACGGGCGGAAATCAGTCAGTCGGTTGATTTCTTCTCAATTTTTATTTGAAAATATCACTACTGATTTAAGTGAACTGATGAGAACACAAATACGGATTTCCAAAAAAAACTTTAATAAAATAAATTAAATTCTTTGTTGTTTTTACTTACTTTATTATTATTGCTTCCTTGAGTTGTCTGAATAGCGACTGATGAAGGTGATATGGAGGGAGGTAACTTAAAAAAATTCAATTGAAAAATATATCATAGGTAATATAAACCAGTAGACAGGAAAAAAAATCAGTACAGATAGTTAGGATTGATTTAATGAAGGAAACTTTAAAAAAATGTTACTAGTTACAGTAATATTTATCATCTGGTTACAAAAGTAACCATACTAAATAAGATGAATGGAATATGGCTAGTACTGAAATCGAGAAAATAACTCTTGAACTATTTGGATTTGTTGAATAGAAAATCAAAGTTAGTTCCCTTCTCTTCAAATGCCTACTGGTTTATCAATGAAGCTGCTGAGTTGAGAAAATTGCTCATGTGCAACAGATATAACTTGGCGCATCGTTTCTACCACTGCCTACGACAGTTAACTGACTTACATTTGATACAGATTGAATTTCACTGGTTATGGCTTCATACTCTCATACTAAAATGAAACAGCCATTCAGTCCTTTAAAGTTTTCATTTTTGGTCTAGCTATGGTCAATTTGGTGTTCCATATCCACAAACCACTCATTCTAATAATGTTCTTTATATTTTGGCCACATAATACAGGATTGATACAAAGAAACTTAAACTTGATCAAAGCCCAATTTATTAAAAATATTTCAAATAATCCTATTCGATGGCAAGGTACCTATCTGAAGAAACTGTTATCTGTAGAAGTATATTAAAAACTAAATAAATCCTTTATCGATTCAATGTGATTTAATTAAATTCCTATAGGAGATTATTACAACTTGTGTTTTGACATATTTGATTTTTCTTTTAATAATATATAAAAATAAAATTAAACAATTGAGATATAGTAGTTATTTTTAAAAAAATTTATCTTAATTTAACAAAAGTCTCTGCTTGTTCTTCTTCATTCAGTAACAGTAAGATTTATTTTTAAAGGCTTTGTTCGTGAAAATCCCTCCATGTACATATACATCTGTAATTTGTTCTTATTGATTCGTTCAGTTGTACATGTTGTTAATCTGTTTGATTCCATTTTGAGATGATAATATCTGTATTTTATTATAGTTTCTATTTCTTATGCCTTCACTGATTTTCTATGTTTCTTTCTGAAATGCATTTATGTTATTTAAGCTGGTACTTAGTCATCGCGACAGCCATATTGATTTGTTTCTCCTTTGATTGAGTTGCTTGTATTGACTGAAATCGTGCATTCTGATTGTGAATTGAAACACTCTCCCAGAATAAGGAGCACTCTGTGTTATCAAGCGACCAAATATTAACTTTCGAACGAATTTAACCTATCCAGGAGGGATAGAGTAACAGTTATTTGTTGCTGGTGATTTGATTAATTGAACAATTGTTGAAGGAATAACCGAGTGGTAATATTTGTTCAGGTAATGATGTGCATTTATATGTATGCTGAATATCAGAACCGTCATTTAACCAGATCACTTGTGTTTGGTTCTGAACTGAGCAAGGCACGTATCTAAACTACCTAGACAGTTATTCTTCTATCCAAACCTCAATTTGTATCCTACAATAACATGAATCGAGTTTATATCAGAAAGCTAATTCTTAGAATGAATCGATTAAATCATAACCAACATTTTAAAAAAAAAAATAATAATAATCATAAATCAACTTACAAGAATACGAAATGGTACAGCATGTTGATTATTTTTACTAATTAATTTTGCTTGAAATAATGACAGATCATTAGTTGTTAATGTTTGACTAAATATTCCATATGAATGATTACTTAATAAAATTGAAGAAATTTCTTCTATGGATTCAATTTTCTTTTTTGATTTTCTAACAAATTTATTTTTCCATGTTTTTTGTTGTTTCCCATGTTGCGACGCTGTTAATTGATTACTGTCATCTGTGATGATTGAATGATGTTTTGGCCATAAACATTTAGTATAAATTAATAATTCTTTTTGAAATGTAAATCCTAACACATCTAAATCGTCACGACCAAAACGATAGGAACAAGTTAAGATTAAGAATACGTATTCTTCATTTTTTAAATCTTGTGATATTACCAATACTCCATCTATATATAGTGAAGTAAAAAGAAAAAAAATTTGAACATCACATCAAGTGGACTGTGACTCAAATTCTATTCAAGCAGGCTAAAGGCTGTTTAATGACCTGACTAATAGGACTTATTTAAATTGTGGATCAGTCATCATTAGAAACCTGGGAGCAATGGAGGGCCGTTACGTCCTAGTATGAGACTCATTAGCAGAGCGAATCTACGACTCCAGCTCGCGAGAATTGAACTTGGAACTTTCAGTCTAGTACACGAACACTTAACCTCTAGACCAGTCACTGAGCTGGCATCCAGCGGTGTCACTGTCTAACTTAAATCAATCCAAGGTATTGTGATAACTGAATACGCCTCGCTGATGAGTCCCATATTTGGAAGAAACGATCAGTCAGTACTTTTATGTTTCTAATGGTGGTCTAACAATGATCGAATCATGATTACATGAGATGGAACGTCCCGGGTTCGATTTCAGCCAGCAAAGGTGGTGGATGTGCACTGCTGATGTGCGCCATACCAGGACGAAATGGCCATTCAGTGATTCGAGGTTTCTTATGGCTGTCTTACACTGAGCCCTATGGATTTCAGTCGAAGGATTATGTTACCTGAATACTGTTACTCAGATGTTAGTGAAATAATCATACGAACAAAACCTTTTGGAATTTTCGTAGAAATAGCGATTAATATTATATGTATCTTACAGTAAATCTTTTAAATTCTCCCAACGCTCAGACAGAGAATCAAACTCTACTTCCTTATATGAAAAAGTCCTTGATTTGCACAAAATTACTCTGTCCAAAAGCCGAGAAAATCAGTCTATATTAAATTATCATATACTATTTAGATTTTAGTAATTTCTTCATCCCCCAAAAAATGTATATTCATTTATGAAGTTTATCGGACGATTTCAGGGCAATACAATAATTTCGATTGAACATGTGCAATAAAATATATCATTAGATTTTCAAGGTCAACAGGTGAAACGAACTAAAGTTAAAATTTATATAATTTTCACAATCTTGATTAATATATATATATTTTTTTTTTCTCAAAAGTGCGTTTTATAATTTATTTTTTTTCTTCAAAAATACCTACATTACAAAAAAGTTTTCATACTTTATAAAAATAGGAGTTTAACTTTACAATTTACAAATGAATAAGAAACGTTTTGACTTTACAAACGTTCTAACATTTATGTTGTAAATCATGATTATGGCTTTTTGTTTGGCCTAAAATTCAACTAGTATAAAATCTTATTACATGAACAGAACAAAAAAAACGAAAAAAGAAACAACACAATTACACAATTAAAACATACAGAATTATGCCATGTATAGCATGTGATATATTAGTTGGTTAACTTCTGTAAATATATATATACATATACATATATAAATATAAATATATACAAACAATTTATTTTCAATGAGAAAAAAATCCAAAAATAGAAAAGTAATTTTTAAGGTTATGAAATAGTTTGAAGAAATTATCCAATCAGAGTAGAATAATTCAGTCTTAACCTTAAATCAACACTATAAAAATGTTAACAATGAGATTTGAATTTTTTTTCTACGAAAAAAGATGTTTTATTTGCGCAATCCATGCATTTTAGATTTTGTATATATACTTACTTACTTACTTACTTACTTACTTATTTACTTACTTACGCCTGTTACCCACAATGGAGCATAGGCCGACCGTCAGTTTTCTCCAATCAACTCTGTCCGACGCTTCCCTCTCCAGTTCTGTCCAATGTTTGTTCATTCCTCTCATATCTTTCTCTATTTCTCGGCGTAATCTGTTCCTTGGACTTCCTCTTTTCCTTTTGCCTTGACGGTTCCATGTAAGGGCTTGTCTTGTGACGCAGTTAGGTGTTTTTCGTAGTGTGTGTCCTATCCACTTCCACCGCTTATTCCTGATTTCCTCCTCCACTGGAATCACGTTTGTTTTCTCCCACAGTACGTTGTTGCTTATGGTGTCTGGCCAACGAATCCGAAGTATTTTGCGTAGACAACTATTCATAAACACATGTATCTTCTAGATGATGGCTTTGGTAGTTCTCCAAGTTTCCGCTCCATATAGTAGAACTGTCTTGATATTTGTATTGAAAATGCTGATTTTGGTTTTGTTTGAAAGTTGTTTGGAGTTCCAGATATTTTTCAACTGTAGAAATGCATCCCTTGCTTTGTCAATCCTCGCCCTCACATCAGCATCGGATCCACCTTTCTCGTCGATGATTCTGCTCAGATATGTAAAGGTGCAATCGTCCTCCAAAGCATCTACATCAAGTGTGATTTGGTTGGTGCATGTTGTGTTGCATCGAAGAATTTCGCTTTTTCCTTTATGTATGTTGAGACCTACTGCTGCAGAGGCTGCTGCTACACTGTTATATATATATACAAACAATTTACTTTGAATGAGAAAAACATCCAAAACTAGATAAGTATTTTTAAGGTTATGAAATAATTTGTGGAAATTATCCAGAGTTGAATATTTCAGTTGTAACCTTAAATCAACACTATAAAAATGTTAACATTGTGATTTGAATTTTTTTTCTACGAAAAAAGATGTTTTATTTGCGCTATTCATGCATCTTAAATTTCTTGTATATGTGAGCCGATAGTAAATTTCTATTTTGTAATGAAAAGTAGAGTGGGTTTTTTTTCAAGAATCAATAACTTAAGTACTTATTGATAAAATTCAATTTAAAGTGGTTTGGTTAATCGCGCTATAGATTTTTTTTTCTTTGAAATTTAATCAGTTACGGCATGAACATTAATAGTGGGATGCAGGTAGATCCAGTGGACGAAGCCTAAATAGGCTGTGATGAGCGCCATGGAATCCACTAGAAGCCGTATTCCGTCTGTTCCATATTCAGAAAATAATTTGGCAATCAGTAAGTAAAATCACTAACATATCACATTATTTTGTTATAACATATTTCATCAAGTAGAATTATCTTCAGTTTTGGGATATAGAAAGTGTAAAATGAAAGAGAAGTTAACTGACTTTAAAACATATATATATATATATATATATATCTTCTCTTTAGAAAAAAAACTATCGATAAGGGTGAGATTAAAAAGGCACATTATGTATTTTATTAAAAAAAACTTTCAATTCGAAATGAACTAATAAGCATTAGTTTTCTATTATGTTAAACTAATAAAAATAATGGGAAAAGAGAAAGGATACTTCAAGTTGACTGCTTCAGTATTTATTATGTCAGGTCTTGAATAAAACAAATGGAACTATTTTACACATTTGAAATCATCAATCAATCATTGTTAGACCACCATTGTGGTGCGAGCTACTTATAAATAATATATGACGTGAGTGTCAACGTAATGTCTGGCAGCAGAAGATGGGGGAAGATCAAGAAAGGAAGAGTTAGAAAACAATGGAATTTGTATGAGACGCATGAATAGTGACAATGGATTGATGTTTTGCAACAGGAACAGTCCAGTTTGATATGATGGATTGATGCTTTGCAAATTAACCGTTTACGATATGGTTTTCCAATTTTACCGAGTAACTCTGTAATTTTCGTTAAATACAATTCGGTTGCCCCACTTGTGTTCTTCTTCACAGGTGCAGGAGACGTGGATGCGCACTGCTGATGAGTCCCATACCGGGACGAAACGGCCGTCTTTGAGTGCTTCCAGGTTTCTAATGGTGGTCTAACAATGATTGATTGATGATTTCAAATGTGTAAAAACGCAAACCTCCAAAACTCTGCTCCAAAAAACGGAACTATTGTTTGATGTAGTTTCAACAGCTTTGACTAATTTTCAAAAGTGATGAAAAGAAATATAAAAAGACTTGATATCGGTCAAGATAAAAACTTACAACTATTACTGTAATTAAAAAAAACAAAGTTTCTATTGATTATTGGTTGAGGAATTAAAAATGTTTAATACTCTTGAATATCATGAAATATTTCAACTAGTTCAACACTTTAACTCTTTAGAAACAAATTAACAGTATTAGATTTAGAGAGAGAAGGTAAAGATTTTCTGTACTAGAGAATAAAGATTTGTACCCAGTAATTGATTTACGCGTTTCTTCCCCATTGTGAGACTTGTATTACTATAAATTGTTTTCTAAACTGATTACAAGTTAATTGTTTGAGTAGTAAAATTGATTTACAGAAGTACCATCTTTGCAAAATTATGTGAAGTTATTGAATTATAATAAAATGTTTGGTTTTCATCTCTTTTCATAAACTGAACAAATAACTGGACAAATTAGTACTTCTGTCAAATTCTTTACATTCGTTTTATTTATTCATTCAAGAGAAGTAAACATAAACACAAGGAGATCTCAAAATGTATACGTGGGTCATACAAAAAATGTGAGGTTGTGATGAAGAATGAATGAGAATGTATGAAGCTGAAATAATGATAACAAGAGTAGGAAAATCTGTTCACTTGAGAAAAGTACATCCAGAAAGAATTCCTTCAGTTAACAAAGTAAAGGATGTAAAATGAAATTACAGCAGGACCACTACTGACTTCTCTTCTAAGTCTACGTCTCAAGTTTCTGAGCTGCACCACTTCTACGAGTAGTGAATAACCCATAGATAACTTCCTAGTATAGCTTGTTTTTAATCCACGACACCATACCCCATAAAATGACACTTCTCAGCTTTGACCAACCATTTCCAGAGTTTTCGGATAATGCGCAATGTAGAATTCGTTGAAACGATATTTGTATTACATATTGACGCCACCAAATCAGGCGTTTCAAGATGGTCACTGATTGAGTTATGGTTGCTGAGCCCAGACATACTCCTAAATCTCTGTAATATTAACATGGTGTTGCCGCTGAGACTCAGCAATCCTTTGAAGACAGCGACGATCGAACTAGAGATTCATTTGACATCTTCAACTTGATTAAACCAGGTCTCATTAGCACAGAGCAAAACTGCTCTAACCGACTTGTTGTAAATCCAACCTTTTACAGGCATACCAAAATCATGCCTTAGATTGCCATAGATAGTTGAC